TGGTTTCCCTGAAGCTCCCCCGCGCAACGACACAAATTGGATGAGCCCGTTTGAGATCCTGCGATATGTAGTGCCCGTTCAAGGGCGGACAAGAAAGGGATCCATGAGTTTGTGACTCAGAGTGCAGCGCCACAGGCACCAACCTATTTACTCCCAGCAGAGTTGGCATTCTCACGACGACAATTCGATTTCCCGCGGCCGATCCACATTGATTGATATTGCGATTCATGTAGTCTCCATCTATGGTAGAGAGTCTTGAGAGCATCCATGTAGTTTCAACGATACGTATGTCTGCGCACTTAGGCACACACGTATCTGCACGAATGTATGCAGTAGATGGGCATAGATGTATGCATGTTAGTTACCACACTGGTAAATATGAGATAATTGAGTCAAAGCAAGAGTCTCAACCGTTGGTCGTCCGAAATAACAACCGAATCACCCAGGACTGCTTTATTGACAGCTACATGGCCAACCTCGGGTTGATGACGGCCAACAGCGACACCACGATACAGGTGGCTTTTTCATGGTCAGTATGAGCATGAATCTTCCAACATAGATCTGATTTGATCTCATTGTGGCTTAGCGACAGGCAGGCAGGCAGGCAAGCTGGCATGCAGGCAGGCAAACAGGCAAGTAAATAGGTGATGATGGGTGGGTATCTGCGAAGCCCTTCACAGTTTAGCCAATCAGAATCCGTAATCCCCTTCATCCTTTGCTGGCAATCGTCTTAATTCCCAATCCATGCTGCATGCCTTGGTTCAAAACCTTGTGCTGGAGGATCTGATACCAGAATCTAGTCCGTAAACCGCATCATCCAGAAACTGCAAATAAACGGGGATTTGGTTTTGCACATTACAGCACCCCTCTCATGTCGATACCATTGGCAGCAGCGGCGTAATCAGAAGCAAAAAAACCAATCAGCCATCTGCTGGATATATCATAGCGCCAATATCTGAAGGAATAACTTGAATAATGAACGGCAGTACTGTACTAGCGGTTGTAACATCCTGCTAAAATTGGCTTTGGCTGGGCATATCTTGCAAGCTGGTTCACCTTTTTATGACCAGTATTCGAATATGTAAACATCCCTTTGAGCAAACAGCAAAACACAAGAGTGCAAACATGTGCAAAACAGTGGATGCCCATAGACATGGTCGAAGCTTGCGGGGGCCGTTGTCATCTCTTGCGAGGAACCCCGCAATCATATTGGTCTAGATCCAACAAGTTCAATGACCGCCCTCAAGACACAGGATGTTTGGATCGCCAACATTCCGGTCAAATCATCATGATTCCCAAGCCGGACTCAAGGACCCCCCCCCCGTGGTAAGGGCAAATCATCATGGGTTTTTGCTCGTTCATCCGCGGAATCGATGAGCTCCTGGGTTTGACCATGGCCCTTTACCACGCTCGCGCCTGCTGCTCCTTCAAGGAGTCCAGCAGCCGCTCCACGACCACCAGGGCCACATCGCAAGCCGCCTGGCGCTCAGATTTTCACAAGGAGGGGAACCCTCCAAGGACACACTCAAATGGCCATGAGTCAAAAGCCCGTACCCCCTGGCCCAGTGAACATCCCAATCCCCACAAAAACACACTAAAATGGGTGGTGCACCTACCCCAAAATGGTACCATGGTTTTGACCAATGGCCAAATTCATGGTGTAGTCCTTGCAACAAAGTCAAGGCCCTTCTTGGCAATACGGGTGCCTTGAGCAGAATGAGGCCATGGGAAAAACTGGGGTCTGGCCTCCAGTCATTATGCTTGGGACTTGGAGATCCACACGGAACTCTTGAATGCCGGCGTCTGGCCACGGGAAGTGTTGGTAGCAGATCCGTAAGGAAACTCTCAGGGCGCCACTGCGTTCTCTATCAACATACAAGGCGCCCGTTGTATGGCTGCGTGCTTCCCCGACATGAAGTGAGACATGGTCAGCGATAGCTCGTTGCGATAATGTAGATGGAGGCCCAGCTGAGCCACGGAACTTGACCAAACCGTATTCTTACAAATCTGCAAACAGTCGTTCGCACGCACACAGGCTCGACCATGAACACGAATGTCATACAGAGCAGCGCATGAATCTCGTACCAACAACGCGCAACCTTGGGGGCAATTGAATGCCATAACCAAGCAGTGCTGAAGCATGTTGATGCTATTATTTATTATTCAGTTCTCTTTGTATGCAAGTGGCACTTGGAGGGAGGGGCCATCTTCAAGGGACAAGCTGAACTCCAAGCACGCAACAAGAACTCGCTTGTTCAAAGAATCTGGCAATGTCAGGCTGTCAATCACGCCTGTTTGAACACCCTCTTGAAAAGCGGCGCACCATGTCACCGAACCAAGTCTCCAAAAACACCCCTCCGGAGAACCTGACAAGTGACAGGTTCGTCTTTTGGACCCAAGGAAGGGTAGCGCAAACATGCCAGTCGATTGGTGCAAACCCAGCCTTGGTGGGGATGGAGTTAGGATCCAGGGCGTGCATGTTCTTGCCAGTCGGCAGCACCTCGGATTGAGAAAACGACCGCCTGTCACCACCTGTCTTGCAAATCATCCGACTCTTACTCTTCCGTGCAAAAAAAAATGAAGAAGAAAAAAGGATTCCGCCGCAAAAAAAAAGGCACGTCGGTGGAATGTGCCAAGGCGTCAAAAACCCGCAAATTTCCGGATTCGGCCGCTGTCCTAAGCAATCAAAAGACCCTCCGATCTGCCACCCAGTCACGTCGGGGTTGCGGATGGGGTCACCCCCTGGGCCTCGAGACGGGAAGCTCTTGGCATGGATCAAACTCCAGGGCCTTTGTTTGGGGTACGTTTTCTGGGGTGTTAAAGGGAATCAGAGAAGAAACTTAACCATTTTGGAGGGAGGCCCTTACTTTGACACACACACGCACACGCACGCACAACTGGGTTGCACAGGTGTCAAACAAAACTCCTTGGTGCAGGGAGAACGCTGCACAATGCCCTGAAAACGAAATCCCGGCTCGCCCAGTTGAACATTCAGCGGATCCGAAGCCTCAAAGAAGCTGGATATGTATGTGTTGGCGCTTTCGATAGCTCTCTTTGTTTGGTCTATCTAGCGTTTTTGAGTGAGAATATATTCGTAAGTGTAATGTCCGTCTTTCGAAGGGCCCCTGCAGAAGCGGCTGATGAAATGGAATCTCTTTCCAGGACGCGTTCTGGATTTCGGGCGCCCTTTGCTCACAAGCCTTTTGACAATGATTCAATGCATCCGGGGGAACCTTGTCCCCAGCATTCCCTCATGTTGAAACATGATGAAGCAAGCAAGCATAAGTCGGGAATGCCCTACATAGGCTGAGGCTCAAAATCAAGTAACACACATGCACATCCGCAAGTGTATATATATATATACGCATCCAAGTTGTCTAGGGGCGCATGACCAATGCCAGTGGGTGTTCCATAGATTCCGGATGTGTGATTCCAAGCCTTCAATGAATACATGTCATGCATGACGCCCAAGTGTGCGAATTCTAACTGCAAACCGAGATTAGACGCATGAAATACCAAAGTTAAGCTTGTCACCTACAGCAGGACCTGTCGAAACATGGTTTGCTCTCGGGGGGTTATGGCTTTCCACTTGCTTGACGACCAAGCAAACAGGGCGGGGATGCCACAACTAGCGGCCCTTTTGGAGATGTCTGCTTTGTAAAGGGAACACGGCTGTCTGTCTAGCCCCTCTTGTGTGCTGCCGTTATTGTTTAAAGGAGGCTAACTACATGGACACCACCAGAACGCCCCTTTCGGAGGAAATGGTCTTTCAGGAATTCCCAATCAGATTCCATGTCAACTAACACACATCTCCTGCACTCTAGTGCGTTCCATCAACTCGGATTCCGGTCCCCGCAACCGCTCACCCGCGCCTGGCTCAATGAAATTGCCATCCCTCGGATTGGGCACGGTCTGAACCAAATATTCTGCCAAAACGTGTGCCACTCCTCACAGTTCCCCTTGCCATAGAAGGCAAGCAATCTCAGACAATGACACATCAACATGATACAGGAACAATTTCTGATCACATGCAATGGATTTTTGTTGGCTGTTGAACAGGGAAGCTAAAAGAACCGCACACAGTTTGGGGAGTCCTTTATTTCAAGACGCACCACACATTCCCTGTTTCTAGCGACACATCATGCAACGGGTGTCCCGGGCCACCAGTGCCGGCAGCCACATTGGAGTCCCGTGTCAGGTTTTGCTTCCTAAAACGAGGCAGAGGCAAGCTTTCGTGGTCAATTGACCAGAACTTCTCGGAAACAAACGGACCTTTGACCTTTCTGATCGTTCCACCGCTTTGACCAGAAAGTTGACCAAAATGTTCAGAAAGGCAAAGATCCAAAGCGAATCGTCTGACAATTCGCAAGGGTTTACCTTGAAGTTCGCCCCCTGATGACACTTCATCTGGGGCACTTCTGCAACGGGCCCTGCCTAGTGGCACACGGCGGCACAGCTATGTCACCCACTGCCACCATGCTCCCACGAGTGACATGTTTCGTCATGTGATTGTCCCAGTTGCCCAGTGACCCCGAAGGAAAGAGAAGAGGGAACCCTTTTGGGTTGACCCTTTTTGTGCCGAATGCACCAGAAAAATGGGGTTGGTGGCAAATGAAAATTGGGCCTCGTCCCTTGCGCCAAGCTGCAGCGCCTTGATGAGGCTGGGCACCTCGTTGTTGCGGACCACCTCCCCCAGGCACACCTGAAGATACCTCAGGCAAAAAAAACGTGTACCGCCATTTGCTTGATGAAGTTCTCTGAAACTCCAAACACAATGTTCAGATTCCTTCCAAAGCCAACAGCGGAAACAAGCTCAGGTGATATCCCCAACAGCATGCGGTACTCTTTTTTTTAAGTGTTCGCACCACCCCGTAGCCCTCGCAGAACGTCGTGGAACTCTCGTGGAACCTTACCTCAGGGCCGCCCCGGACCACTCCGGAGCCTATCTGGGCTCAGACCCCAAAGCTTTCAGCTGTTGGGGAATAAAACACATGCTTTAGCAAATCCTAAGGGGCTGGCAGTTTCTGGTTTCGGGTCTCTGGCCTTTTGACCTACAGCCATGTATATGAGGATTTAGTGACAATAAGGAATCCAACCGCGTGGGGGAAGCTAAATGGGTGAGCAGGTGAGCTCGAGATCTCTTGAGACCTTCAAGAATACTGTTCCTATTTCCCGAAAGCCAAGTAAATGTCTAACTCGTCCATAGGAAACAAAAAGAACTTGAACGAATCATCTGGCAGAGTGGCGAACGCTAAGCTTTCATAGAGTTGAGCGATGAGGTACAACTATGACGAGGGATCAAACAAGCACCGGTTGAGCTTTGATACAGCGTTGAACGGAAGTGGTTCAACACATGGAGAGTGGATGACATCCCAAATCAAGTGGCTTTATGCAGTTTACGAGGCAACGCCCTCCAAAACGGTTGGTGGACATAAACCCGAGTGAAAACTCGCTGCAGGAACACCTACTATGCAAATGGACGTCAGAAGTCCTGCCGCCCAACTGGGCACGCCAAGCTGCTCGAAGAGTGGCTTCAGCTGGTCGTCGGGGCAGTCGAAGCCAACCTGCGTTTTTTTGTTGGAAGGCCAAGCTACAAGCGACCATGCTCAAACCTACCAGGTTCATGAAGGCCATAAAGTTTCGTTACATGGAAAATGCCAGATGTGCTGTATTGGATAGAAGCATTCGTTGGAGACACGTTGTTTTTGTTACACACGCACTGTCACGCGTGATGCAAATAAGGTGTATGATTGTGTTTTGATTTAACACAAAATGCGTATACATCCAGCACGTGGACATGCCTCCATGAAAGGAATCCAGCGCACATAAGACAAGCAAGCATCTTGGACGCAATGCGCTGAGCCCAGTGAAGCTTCCACGAAAATCAGCAGCTCAAGAGAGCTGCATGATCCAGTCTGACGAGTCGCACACGCAGGCCTCCCTTGGACGAGGCAACAAACTGCGTGGAACCCAAGAGAACTCAACCCAAGGTCGCCTTAGATTTCAGGATCGCGTGTTTACTCTGTTCCGTGATATCGAAGTGGGATTCCCAGCCCTGCGATTGTTGCAAATTTGCCACTTTCAAGGGGGATTCTCTTGGAATGACAAAACATGATTAAACATAACTCGCTTGTTGGACCCGTTTAAAGGCGGGCCAACAGGAAACCCAATTCCCGGACCATCGAACCATTATGTTCAACACTCACCTTTGGCTATGTCTGTGACCACCATGTGACTTTGACGATAACAATTCTGGTATGACAGCACACTGGATGGCCAGGCAACTTACTTCCAAAAGCAAAAACAAGAACCGCCAGCCTATTGCCGACTCTTTATGTACCCGACAAGTTTTCTCCGTAAACCTTGGCTCAAGGGACATTGATCTGATAGAAGAGTTATGAGTTATGAGAACCAACAGCCGAACTAATTTGCTACGAGAAGATCAATCCCCAAAGCTAGAAATTTGCATTGCTTTTGGCTTCTTGTGTTACCCACCAAGCTTCTACCTCTCTGCCAAGGATCATCTCGTTTCGGAACATGGCATGGGTATGAATGTCAATTGGGACCCCTTGATTCACGTCAACCAAGTTTGAGGCGCCAACTCTTAAAACTCATGGCTGCTGATTGCCTCCTCCAGCGCTTTCTTGTAGGGGGAGCCGCCCATGAAGAAGTTGAAGATGTCCCCGAAGGGGTTCACCTCCGACACGCGGCCCTCCTGGCGCAGATTTGATAGGCCTAGTTCTTTCAAAGGCTGGGAACAAAAGACATGATTTAGGTCCAAAATTTAGGTATGTTCCAAAATAAAGAGACCCCCCAAAATGGGGGTGTCCCCTTTGGCTTCCCGTTAAGCCCGCCCCCCAAACCGGGTGCCCTCAACAAACACCACCATTTCTTTGGGTCTTTGGATTGGTTGAAGCACGGGTTTGCTCAACAGGGCATAGTCTCAAAAGCATGTTCAAACTTGACCCGTGCTTCCTCGCAATTGGTGACCCTCCTTAAGACCTTTGACGCCTAAAAGAGCCATGTAGATTCATGAACAGGCAAACACACATACTAACACTACTGCGTGCTCATGGATCCGGAAGAGCCGTCACGACATGTCACTTTTGGCATATTGATAGTAAGTTGTTGGTCTTGGCTGTCAAGTTGTGAAATAACTCGCTGGGTGGTTTGCCTCAGAAAAACTAATACTACGTATTGGCTGTTATGCATGCAATCCCAGCAGCCTTGATTCAAGCATGATGGATTATGGGATTAGTGCTATTCTCGAACCATGTCAGGCTTATCCCCGTCTTAACGTCATCCGTTTGGTCGCGTTTGTCAAGCCCGCCTCCCTTTATTTGACGCGCCCCTAAAACTATCTGCGGCCCTGTGCCAAACCTTTGCTCATTGTTTTCTACGGCAAACAAGACTATACGAATGTTTTTCTTTGTTAGTTTCAAAGTTCAATGGAACACCTAGCCCCAGAAAGCTTCGATGGTGCCACAGCACAACTGGGCCTGCTAATTGCTATGAACTGCCACGTAGGTTTCCTGCATCCTCTTGCATGCAAACCTGAGTTTCAGACTGGCTCGGCACAACTCTACAGAATTTACACTAGCTTGCAAACCAGCTGAACCGACAACTGCATGTCTGAGAGTGAAGCGCAAAAAAGCAAACGTGGTGAACTTCAATGCCATCATGGATTCATACAATTTCAACTCACTGACCAAATGTTGATCAACTCAAGACGGTGTCAGAACTGGCGCCCTGAGATGCTTCAAAGCATTGCCCTGTCGTATGCAAAAGCACCGTCTGATCCAATTTAAAGGCCCCTCCCACCAGCCGAAAAGATCCTTCGTCGAATCACGCGTTCTGGTTCGAATTATATATATGATGATGCACCCTGTTCAATGTAGGGCTTTGTTGTGCCAATCAACCCTGAATGATGTTAAAGCTGAAGATTTCACACATATCAAACAAAACCCTCTGTTTGCGCCCTTTGTCCCTTCTGTCCTAACAAAGTCCCTCGAAGTCTGAAGAAGCATCACACATACAACAAATACACCCATCAACCTGAAGACAAACGCTTCGGGTTTAGTGGAAAACCCATTGATTTCCCCAAAAGTTAAAGGCTAAACATCCAACCCAAGTTCCGTCCCTCCGGATCGAACCCAAGCGATCCAGTCGAGTCCTCGTTGGTGGACTGCGCCACCAGCGCCCCCACGGCCTTCCGAGAGGCCTCGGTGATCTGCTGGATCAGGGCCACGTCCTGCGAGCCACAGGTTTTCGAGGGGAAGTTTCCCAGGAGCCTCCAAATGAAGCGTCCAAAAAGGCAAAGCATAGCATTGACCTTTCTAAAAAGAAAGCAGAAGTGGGGGGAAACCAGCCACTTGAATGGTACATGCGCAATTAAACCGCTTGTTTGATGGAAACGGACCACTAGGGAACCAAAAGGAAACCAGACGCTTTGGACAATTTCGCATGGAACTCCCATGCTAAGCGTGTGTCTTTGAGATAGGAACCTGTTTTCGGGGGAAGGAGCCCCCTTTTTGGGTTCCTTCTCTCAAACCGCAGAGAAGTCCATGCCGATTTATGTCGACCATTTTGGTTGGTGTGTAGTTCTTGAGGCATCCTCACTGGACAACCTGTCTTGCTTGCGTCACCTCCTGGTTGGTTTCCTGGCAAGAAGAAACCGGCCAAAACAAAAGAAACCAACCAAAACATAGGTCTGACTTTTAGACAAACACGCATTTCATGGCCTGTCTCAGAATGGGATTCCCCCCAGATTCGGCTTTCTTGTCGTGTCCTTTCAAATCAACCTCGCAACGGGTATCAAGTTAAGCACGTCACGCCCAAATTGCCAAGTGAACTCGTGATAGGTGGGAAACCCTTGAGCCTTCAGGCAAAACAGGCTGCAAAGTCTATGGACAAACTGGAACCGACCGCAAAGTCTTTTACGCAGTATCCCTGATACCGATAGCCAGCACAAAGTGAACACAGCATAGATACTTTCTTGGAAACCAATGCAGAACATACACTTCCAAAGCACAACCAACAGACATAACGGAAACTCAAAAATTCACCAAAACAAACTCGAGGGCTGGAGTGTTGAAGAATCATACATACATACTCGCCAGCACCAAGCTCAAAGCATGCCACTCTCTTGCCGGACCCGATTTTTTGTTCCAAGCTGTTGATGGAAAAAACATATTAGTTGGCAGTATGTGGTTTATCCCAGTCAGGGCTTCATCCCTCCCACGTTGGTGCGAAGCGGATTTTGTCCATGACAATGAGTGGATGAATCCTGCTTGAAGGGAGCACTGTGGATAGTCGCAAAATTCATTTCGCACCAGCTAAGAAACCCTTGTTTCTGATGATTCCCCTGCAACTACCAACACACCTTATGGTCTCAACCATGGTTTCGTTTCGTGGTGTGAACGGATTCCGCAACCTTCCACATCTTGAGAATATGCCAATCCGCGCCTCCAAGTTGCCCTCGTTGTTGCCTTTGTAGACCGCCTAGCGAGTTTTGCTCGAAACCGTGGCTTGAGAACATTTGGTGTAGAAAACGGGTTTGATGTTTTTTGTGGATTTCACCTGTTCTTCCCCCTGAATTTTCTTTCTTAGTACTCGTTTAGTACTCGTTTAATATCCAACAGGGGTGGATCCACAAAAGCCACATCCAAACCCCTTTCTAAATTTGGGAGTGGGTCAAACACAGGGCGAACCCAAAATGGGTTGCCCGGGAAATTGGACACATTTTAGAGGAAATTAATGGGGTGAGCGGCAAATGGGGTGAGGCCCGAGGACGAAAACGACAAGAAAACACCGCAAACACCCGTATTTCCCCGGAAAAGCACTTTCTTTCCTTCCGGCGCTGAAGGTAATTGTCTCCAGGGCTTGCTGGCTTGCTGGCTTGCTTGCTTGCTTGCTTGTGTTTGGTTGCTGTGCTGCGCACAAAGCGGTCAAGCCATTTATTGCTGCATGCATTCATGAGGGCACGTTTAGTGTAGAAAGGCAACAAGTTTCTGCGTCGTGGCGTTGATTCGGTGTTTCAGGCTGTTCTTAATATCACCCATGTTCGGCCTGCAACAGGCAACACCATCTCAGCGGTCTTTAACACAATGTGTCAGCTTACCATAGAACCGTGCAGGAAGTGAAAAGTTGCTACGGAAAGCCGGTGTTGGCCACGACTGCTGAGTTCCTATATATCGTTGTGGGCTTTAGCACGACTTCTTAAGATTTCTCAACAGAAATTGACCGACGCATCAAACTCAGGAGTGTCATTGTGACAATGGGTGTTTGGGACCACCGTTTGGGACCAGCTGTTTGTTTGGCAACGTTTGGGACCACTGGTGCTTGGGACCACCGTTTGGGACCGTGGGCGTTTGGGACCAGTTGTTTGCAACCACCGATTCAAAATGGGTGTTTGGGACCAGCTGCTTGGGACCACCGTTTGGGACCTGGGTGTTTGGGAACAACTGCTTGGGTGTGGATGACATAGGTGTTTGGGACAAGCTGTTTGGGTTTGAGGCCGGTGTTTGGGACCAGCTGTTTGGGACCACCGTTTGGGACCATGGGTGTTTGGGACCCACCGTTTGGGACCATTGGCGTTTGGGACCACCGTTTGGGACCATGTGTGTTTGGGACCATGTGTGTTTGGGACCATGTGTGTTTGGCACCCACAATTTGGGACCATGGACAGCTGTGTGGGACCAGCTGTTTGGGGCCATCACACCGTGAGGCGGCGCCCTAGCAAGAGTCAAGAAAAACACTAGAGTCTGGACGGAAGGGTCGGGCAAGGACAGCTATCGCGTCTAAAAGCACACACACACAATCACGCAAACACAAAGGAAAATTGGGGCAAGCACACCGTGAGGCGGCGCCCTAGCAAGAGTCAATAAAAAAAACACTAGAGTCTGGACGGAAGGGTCGGGCAAGGACAGCTATCGCGTCTAAACGCACACACACACACACAATCACGCAAACACAAAGGACAAATTGGGGCAAGCACACCGTGCGGCGGCGCCCTAGACAGAGTCAAGAAAAAACACTAGAGTCTGGACGGAAGGGTCGGGCAAGGACAGCTATCGCGTCTAAAAGCAAACAACCACACAATCACGCAAACACAAAGGACAAATTGGGGCAAGCACACCGTGTGGCGGCGCCCTAGCAAAAGTCAAGAACTACACTAGAGTCTGGACGGAAGGGTCGGGCAAGGACAGCTATTGACACCAACAAACATATCAGGAAACGCTTGGAATCACACATCACCCCCAATCACATCAGCGTGCGCCTATAACTCAAAGCACTCCCATCGCGGCGCAGCTATGCAGTACCAGTACGCTAACCTGCCAAAATGGGTGTTTGGGACCCACGTTTACCATGAGTGTTTGGGACCCGCGACCTGGCTGTTCAAAAACCCACCGTTTGGGGCCGGGCGTTTGGAACCATAAGTGTCTGGGACCAGCTGTTTGGGACCATGAGTGTTCCGGGACCAGCTGTTTGGGACCCGTTTGGGACCATCGTTTGGGACCTGTTTGGGACCATGGGGTGTTTGTTTCGTTTTGGTTTGGGACCATCGTTTGAAAAATGGGTGTTTGGGGCCGGGCGTTTGGGACCATGGGTGTCCGGGACCACTGTTTGGGACCATGGTGCTTGGGTCCACCACCATACGTGTTTGCGTGGGACAAGCTGGGTGTTTGGGACCACTGCATACCGTTTGGGACCATGTTTGGGACCACCGTTTGGGACCATCGTTTGGGACTGTGGGTGGTTGGGACCGGTGTTTGGGACCATGCGTGTTTGGGACCATGGTTTGGGACCATCGTTTCGGACCTGGGTGTTTGGGGGCGTTTGGGACCATGGGTGTCTGGGACTATGGGTGCGGGACCAGCTGTTTGGGACCATACTGTTTGGGACCATGGGTGGTTGTTTCGGTTGGGACCACTGTTTGGGACCATGGGTTGGGACCCACAATTTGGGACCATGCGTGTTTGGGCCATGGTTTGGAACCATCGATTGGGACCATGGCTCACCGTTTGGTCTGGGACCACTGTTTGGGACCATGGGTGCTTGGGACCCACCACCATACGTGTTTGGGGCCAGCTGCGTGGGACCAGCTGTTTGGGACCATGAATGTTTGGGACCACTGTTTGGGACCAATGGGTGTTTGGGTTAACTATGCGACGGACACGAGATCCACACGGATTGCTGTGGACAAAACGGAGGCCGGCCCGAGAGGCCGCACGTGTAGTCTGCTGACTGGTAGCAAGGTCGGCCGAGGTTTCGGCCATACACAAGATTCCCGGAAAGCGGGACATTTGCCTCGTCAGTGAATCCTGCCGAGACCGCCATTTTGGATGACTTCTTGAACTTCTTCCAGTCGGCCATCTCGGGGGAGAGGATGCGGAAGCGATCCTTAGAGTTGGCAATCAGGCTCTCTGGGTTCTTTGCTTGGGAAAGAGCGTTAGCCGCTGTTAATATTTTCCGAGCGAACGGGAGGCTGACTGTAAGTCTCCCCGCTGCCTTTCCCATCTCTGTGCTGTCCAGCTCTGGATGACCGCAAACAAGGTTCTGAATGGCTTCCGCGTATTCTATCACCGTGTCCTGTGAGATCGCATGCCGCAGCGAAAGAGCCCCTTCGGCTTTCCGCGCAAGATCGCAGAGTTTTTCTTTTGTAATTGCCGAGTAGATCTCCCCTGCTCTTTTTAGGATTTCACTTCCCTCAGGGATATCAAATTCCTTGTTCTTTAGGGCAGTCATCATCATGTCAGCCACTCCAAGAACTGCACCCATGAAAAGTCCAGCCAGGGCCTTTTTTCCTGCGGTGCCCTGGCCCCTTCGGATAGACTTTCCAAGAATGTGTTGGAACCAAAGCGATCGAGTATTGCGCTTTGCCAGTCGAACTGCCAACCAGGGAGTGAATTGTCAATACAGTCTTGTTATGGATGATGCTGTCGCTCGGCGTATTCCGGTAGAAGATCTCGATAATTGCAGCGAGAATTATCAAAGACCCAAGACGCTGCCCAGGCTCCGGAGCCGCTCCTTCTATCTTCACCGTCTTCAAGAGCGTCAAGGTCTCAATACTGTCTGGCAAACTTACAACTATCGTGGAATCATCCTTGAGTCCAATAAAGTTGTTCACTGCAGGGACAGGGGTGATGGAGCTCCGAAGGCACCAACCGTGTATGCGGAGATGTTCACGGCCCGGCTTTAGCTCTCGAGAAATTTTTGAGGCAGTCCCTATGGCTCGGCCGAGGGCCTCTATGTCGAGCTGGTCGACAGCCAAGAGATTGGCAGGAATGCTGGATTCCGTGGGGAGAGATATTTCAACCATCGAACTATCCGAAGCCTTCTGCATTTGGTACGACGCCGCCTTGGGTGCCCCAGGATGTCAAGAGCGCCGGGGGACTGGGTGCCTGCACTTTAGGGATTCAAGTCGTCGCTTGAGCCAAAATGGCTACGGAACGTTCTGCTGGCTTACATAAACATAAAGGAAACTCACAATGGCCAGAAGTTAAACAGGTACGCTAAGACAAAATAGCAATGTGGGAATTCAACCAAAATGCTTTTGTGTGTTAGGACACATCTGCCCAAGCCTCCCAGAACACAAACTTCCGCAGTTGAAGCCCCCCGAAGACGAATTCCTCGAAAACAGGATTGGAAGGCTCCCAAAGACAACATCCCCACCGTTGAAGCGGTACTTGGCCTTAGTTGAGCTTAATCCCTCCTGAGGCACCTTTAGGGTGTCTTTGTGGGAGGTTGTCCCTTGACCTGAGTGTTGCCTGAAATGCCTCTTAGGGGTCCTTGAAAGTCCCCTTGCAAGATCACCACACAAGAACGATCACCTTAGATATACCCAACTAACGATCGGACCCCCCCCCCAAAAAAAAAAGTAAAAAATAAACAAAGTGGATTACCCAACTAATGATCGGACCCCCCCGCAAAAAAAGAGGATGAAACAGACTCAAAGGCTAAAAGTCATGCCAGTCACAATTGAAACCTGGTACTCCAAGGGTCACAGACCTACGAGGACACAGGCTTTTCAAAGTGGAGTGTTGGCCAATCCTGGTCCTGCTCGTTGATCCCAATCGGAAAACCACCGCAAAGGGGACCCCTTGCTTAACGCAAGGTAAGAATTAGTTGATTGCCTTTGAACAGCCCAGCCTATAGATGGTCTGAGAGAAATTGCGTCGTACCACTCAGTTCATCTCCTAGCTTGCAATTTGGGATGCCCCTATTTAGAGACAAACCCACACTTCCATTTGCTAGAAGTTCCTGGTAAAAACAAACAAATACATGTGTATATATATATATACGTATCCAGTAGTGATAGATTCCCTTTAAAGCCAACAGGGAAGAACAACACAGATGTTAGAGGGAAATTAATGGGGTGAGCGGCAAATGGGGTGAGGGCCGAGGACGAAAACGACAAGAAAACACCGCAAACACCCGTGTTTCCCCGGAAGACCACTTTCTTTCCTGAAGGTAATTGTCTCCAGGGCTTGCTGGCTTGCTTGTGTTTGGTTGCTGTGCTGCTGCATGCATTCATGAGGGCACGTTTAGTGTAGAAAGGCAACACGTTTCTGTGTCGTGGCGTTGATTATGTGTTTCAGGCTGTTCTACTATAGTAGTAGTAGTAGTAGTAGTAGTAGTAGTAGTAGTAGTAGTAGTAGTAGTAGTAGTGGTAGTAGTAGTAGTAGTAGTAGTAGTAGTAGTAGTAGTAGTAGTAAGAGTAGGAGCAGGAGTAGGAGTAGCAATCGTAGTAGTAGTAGTAGTAGTAGAAGAAGTAGTAGTAGTTGTAGTAGTAGTAGTTGTTGTTGCAGTAGTAGCAGTGGTAGTAGTAGTAGTAGTAGCATTAGTAGTAGTAGTAGTACTAGTAGTAGTAGTAGTAGTAGTAGTAGTAGTAGTAGTAGTGGCAGTAGTGGTAGCAGTCGTAGTAGCAGGAGCTGTAGTAGAAGTAGTAGTAGAAGTAGAAGTAGAAGTAGAAGTAGAAGTAGAAGTAGTAGTAATAGTAGTAGTAGTAGTAGGAGAAGTAGTAGTAGTAGCAGCAACAGCAGTAGTAGTACGAAGGGGGTATGATTCGGCGTATGGTTTGGGGGGGTGGTTCGGGGTATGGTTCGGGGGTATGGTTCGGACAAGTCGCACTTCCACCCTTTACAAAAGGCTGCGCACCTTAAAAAGGCATGCACCCATTTGGGACCACGGGCGTTTGGGACCACCGTGCTTGGGACCACCGTTTAGAACCATGGGCCACTGTTTGGGCCACATTGCCAGCTGTTTGGGACCAGCGTTTGGACCATGCGTGTAGTCATAGGGTGTTTGGGCCAGCTGTTTGGGAGTGGGGGTGTTTGGGACCAGGTGTTTGGGGTTTGGGACCCTCAGACCTTGGGACCCATGGCTGTTTGGTGGGTATTTGGGACCAGCTGTTTGGGACAATGGGTGTTTGGGACCCAGTGTTTGGGACCATGCCTTGGAACCCACAATTTGGGTGGGTGTTTGGGACCAGCTGTTTGGGACCATGGGTATTTGGGACCAGCTGTTTGGGACCATGGGTGTTTGGGACCCGTGTTTGGGCTCATGCCTTGTTTGGGACCATGGGTGTTTGGGACCCACAGCTTGGGGGCCAAACATGGTTTGGGACCATTGTTTGGGGCCTTGGGACCACCGTCTTTCACCATCATTTCGTGGAACACTGTTTGGGACCATTGTTTGGGACCATTGGACCCGCCGACCATGGGCCGCTTGGGACCATCGTATGGGTGTTTGGAACAATTTGGGATGACCGTGCTTGGGCACTGTTTGGGGACCATGGGTGTTTGGGAGCTGTTTGGGACGCACGCTTGGAACCCACCATTTGGAATTTTGAAGAACCACCGTTGGAACCCTGGGCCACTGTTTGGGACCATGGGTGTTTGGGACCAGCTGTGGGCGATGGGTGATCATGGGTGTGTGGGACCACTGACCCACCTGTTTGGGACGGTGTTTTGGGACCAGTGTTTAACGGGCGTTTGACGAGAAAAGACAGGACTGCTGGAAAGGGGCCTGCTTGGCACCGCGCCTGTTCAGCGCCTCGTAGGCGACTGTTTGGGACCATGGGTGCGTGTCTGGGACCAGCTGTTTGGCAACCAGCGTCTCAAATCATGGGGTTTTGGGATGGGTTTGGTTTGGGACCATGTTTGGGACCATAGGTGTTTGGGACCACCGTTTGGGGCCATGGGTGTTTCCCAGTTTAGGACCATGGCATCGTTTGGACCATCGTTTGGGACCATGAATGTTTCGCGTGTTTGGGAACAGTGTTTGGGTTGGGACCGACCAGCTGTTTGGGACCATCGTGCGCATGCGTGTTTGGGACCAGCTGCGTGGGACCAGCCTGTTTGGGACCATGGTGTTTGGGACCACTGTTTGGGACCATATCGGACCAGGGACCATCGTTTGGGACCATGCATGTTTGGGACCACCAGTGTTTGGGACCATGGGTGTTTGGGACCCACAATTTGGGACCATGCGTGTTTGGGACCATGGTTTGGCATCCTTTGGGACTATATGGGTATTTAATACCACTGTTTGGGACCATGCGGGTGTTTGGGAGGACCATAGGTGTTTGGCCGTTTGGGGCCGGGTTTGGGACCACTGTTTCGGACCATGGGTCCCAGCGTCGGACCCACCTGCTGTTTGGGACCATGGGTGTTTGGGACCACTGTTTGGGACCATACCGTTTGGGACCATCGTTTGGGACCATGTTTGGGACCACCGTTTGGGACGATCGTTTGGGTGGGTGTTCGGGACCAGCTGTTTGGGACCATACCGACCTGTCGTTTGGACCACTGTTTGGGACCATGGGTGTTTGGGCCACAATTTGGGACCATGCGTGTTTGGGACCATCGTCTGGGAAGATGGGTATTTAATACCACTGTTTGGGACCATGCGGGTGTCTGGGAGGACCATGGTTTGGGGCCGGTTTGGGACTATGGTGTCTGGCGGACCGCTGTTTGGGACCATACCGTTTGGGACCATCGTTTGGGACCATGTTTGGGACCATCGTTTGGGACCATCGTTTGGGACCATGGACCCACCGTGGGACCACCGTTTGGGACCACGGGTGTTTGGGACCCACAATTTGGGACCATGCGTGTTTGGGACCATGGTTTGGGACCATCGTTTGGGACTTGGTGTTTGGGACCCACCGTTTGGGGCCGGGCAGCTGTTTGGGACCATGCGTGTTCGGGACCAGTTGTTTGGGACCATCGTTTGGGACCACCTGTTTGGGACCATGGGTGTTTGTTTCGTTTGGGACCACCGTTTGGGACGTTTGGGACCGCACAATTTGGGACCATGCGTGTTTGGGACCATGGTTTGGGACTATCGTTTGGGACCATGGGTGTCTGGGACCACCAGATTGGGACCATGGGTGTTTGGGACCCACAATTTGGGACCATGCGTTTGGGACCAGCTGTGTGGACCAGCTGTTTGGGACCATGGGTGTTTGGGACCACTGTTTGGGACCATACCGTTTGGGACCATCGTTTGGGACCATGCATGTTTGGGACCACCGTTTGGGACCATGGTTTGGGACCGACCGTTTGGGACCACCGTTTGGGACCATGGGGTGTTTGGGACCCACAATTTGGGACCATGCGTGTTTGGGACCATCGTTTGGGATTATGGGTGTTTGACCACCCTTTGGGACCATGCGGGTGTTTGGGAACACTGTTTGGGACCACCTTTTGGGACTATGTGGGTGTTTGGGACCCACGGTTTGGGGCCGGGCGTTTGGGACCATGGGTGTCTGGGACCAGCTGTTTGGGACCATGGGTGTTCGGGACCAGCTGTTTGGGACCACCGCTTACCAGCTGTTTGGGGATTGGGACCGGGTGTTGGGGACCAGTTGGCTGGGACCACCGTTTGGGACTATGGGTGTTTGGGACCACCGTTTGCGACCATGGGTGTGGGGTGTTTGGGACCAGTTGTTTGGGAGCATGGGAGTTTTGGACCGGCTGTTTGGGATTGTGTTTGGGGCCACCGTTTGGGGCCACAGGTGTTTTGGACCATGGGTGTTTGGGGTTTGGGACCATGGGTGTTTGGGACCAACTTGGACCACTGTGTTGGGATTATGGGTGTTTGGGACCAGCCGTCTGGGACCACCGTTTGGGACCATGGGTTTTTGGGACCACTGTTTTTGGGTGGAAGGAGGAACCATCGCAACCCCAGCTCCCAAACCCAGAGGATTGTTGCTTTTTGTCTGTCTAAAATCAACGGCTGTTTTCTGCTGTTTCATGGTTTTTTGCGCTGCTTTCTGCCTTCGTCTGCCCTGAAGCCTCGCCCCGTTGACCCTTCACCCCCTTTATTTTTCTCTGACACATGGACTAAAACCTGCGTTTTTAGGTGTAATTTGGACTCATAGCCGTTTGATCTGCTTCGGGCAAAGAAACATGCAAGACACAGGCACACAGCTTCAGTACAAAGTGTCGTGTGATACATCCAAATGGCAGCTTTTTGGCAATCACTCAGGGAAACATTGGCCCGCAGCTTCTGCTTACCTAGTATATCAACACCGGGCAATGGAATTATGGGGGCAGGCACTTTGGCCAAAGACAAGGATGGGTTCCACCAAGAGTCAGAGTGAACGGCCCAGTGCATACCTTCTTTGAACACCATAATCTTACAAAAAGCCCGCTTCCTATATTGTTGCACTAAGAGCAGCTGGGCGTTTCTTCAAATTGAGCTGAACTCCGGGTGGTTGGTTGCCGACACCTTCCCTTTAAACAGGGCTTGCCTTTATCGAGGACTGGGGCTGCAAAGAAATCTAACAAAAGGAACCCCCAAGTCAAGGATTTGCATAGGTCTTCGCTCCTTACAAATGAAACAAAAAAAAGCAGCCCAGACTTCGGTGGCCGCTTTGCCCCCCACTCACACCCCGACATCCCCTGCCCCCCGTCCTTCAAAACAAACAAAACGGCTCAGACTTCGGTGGCCATTGCAGCCCCCCCCCACCCCGTCAGACCTTTCAAACCCCTAACCCCCGCCCAGGGTTTTAGCCTCGATGTCCTTGCCCTGGGTTTCTGCGATGATGCGCGGCAAGCTCCTGATGCCCATCTCCTCGGCTCGGACTCCGCTGAAATCGGGTGACCCTGTCATTGGCCGATTCCCCGTTGGACACCACTGGCTTCCCAGGGCCCTTGAATGGGTTCCGATCACAAATGGCTGGCCAAGGGGGATAAGAAACAGTCGCTAAGAAACAGACATGCTTCCCAGGGTATTTGACAAGAGTTGTTGAGGGTAACTTGTTTGGGGGTTGAAGTTAAACCCACATTTTGTTGAATCTACCCTTGTTAGTGCTGAAATGAAAAAGGGCAGCCTATGCAGCTTAGTATTAGGAAAAAACCCAAAGAAAAACAGTCAACAACATAAATCGTCAACAATCATCAGCATAGAAGTATCTTGGTTTCCTTTGGTCTTCATCCAGAAAATAGAGGAAACTCACTCTTAAAAGGCCCTACTTCGACACACACACACACACACACACACACACACACACGCACGCACGCACGCACGCACGCACGCACGCACGCACGCACGCACGCACGCACACGCGTGTATGCGCGCGCAAATGTGCGCGCAGTTTGAAGCGCGGGTGAGCATCCGGGCGGTCCAGCTGCGCGATGTTCACCAAGGTGGCCACAGACTCCGCCGCTGTGGGAGGCACCCCGACCTGCACTTGGGCGCTTGGGGAGATGTTGCCCGAACGGCCCTAACGAACATTTGGCTGTGAATCAAAAGGGTAACCCCAAAAAGGGTTGCCCCGGTAAGTGGAAACATGAAGCAAACCTGCGGTCCCCCTGGTGGATTTTTAACTGCATGTGACCCATACCCAAATTCATGAGTCGGGGGACTTTGGGGAGGGATGGTTTGTTTGTTTATCGGGGCAACTTTGAACTGTATGCACTCAATCTATACGAAACCTTTGACACTGGAGTTGGGCCAAAAAAGCACCAAACAAATCTCAAATAGGATATTTGGGGGTGCTGTTAAGCCAAAATGTTTGGCCGGTTGAAAGGATATTTGCGGGTACTTTTACACCAAATCATTTCGGTGTTCAAAAACCATCCCCCGCCGACAACCTCCCTTAACGCGCCTGGTGGAGGCCCATAGGCAGGGCACGACTCTCGATCTCCATGAGCAGGCGATAGACCTTGCCCACCACCTGAAGGAAACGCTGGAAGGTGGTGGTACGTGACCCTAGCAGCAAAAGGGTCATGTGGTTTGGCTTTGAGGTGGGTTTAGTGGGTTAGGAGCTCAGGGAGCGTGCAGCGGGTATCAGCTCGGATTTTTGCTGGGGAGTGCAACCACTCCTGAACGCATACCCATCTAAGATCGGCGATATGGACTTTGTGCTTGAGTGAACGTGAGACCCGATGCCAGTACAACGTTTCCACCGGACAGTGCCATAATGCACCAAGACCGACACCACATCATCACAGAAGGAGTGCCTTGCAAGGGAGCACACGCCCACATTCTGGACGGGACTCGCGGACTCCGACTAGTCGAATTCCCACAGTTTCGAGCAGCAACTCATCTAATGCACAGCGAGTCCCCAGTTTCCTTATCACTACGAAAGCCCTGGCCCACTCCAGTGAAAGAACAAGACCAAACTCCAGGCATGATGCCCCGAAGTGAGTGCCAGGGGTTTTGGCCAGGGCAATGGATAGGACCTGAAAATACTCCTTTGCTCTCTTCATCCGAGCCACGTCATCTCTCTGCTCCATGGTCACCTTGGCCATATCATCCTGCCGAAGCGTTGAGATAAGTCGAAGCAAACTGCTCACAGACTCGCAGTGGCACATCCGCAACAACCCAACACCTCAGAGAAGGAATCCTTTGTGTCTCAGAAGGTAAAATGTCATTTCCCCGTCAATCGAGTTCGCATGGGTGGAGATTGAGGCCGATACCAAAGTGGGTCATCCCTGTGGGAGTGTCATGCTAAGGGGGATTCTCCTTGGTATCACCGAAATGGCCTGGATCCACTATGCACACCCTTTTGCCAAACTTTGCACCGCTTTTCTTGGAAGGCATAAAAAGGGGTCCTTTGGAGGTCCTTGGGGCCCCCATCCCTAGGAGTCACCGTTGAAACTACTTGTTTCCCCAAGGTTGGCACTGAAATTTGAGCTTGTTGCCTCTACTTCTCTCCCAAATGAACTATACATGAGTCACTTGTCCACCTCTTAAGGGAGGCATCCTCACAACTGCTTTACCAGTCCTTCCCAGGAAATCGACATGTTTTACCCGACCGTGACTTTCAAACCCGCGTCTCCTCCTCGCTGGGCAGGTTGTCGATGTCCTTATCCAGGTTGCACTGCCGGGCTGTGGCAATGATGCTGTTCACGATGGAGGCGCCTCAGCATCCGGCGCGCGAAGCTCAAAACCTGTTTGCGGATCATAGATCGAACCCAAAAAGCAGTTCCCCCGAAAGGCGGGAATCATGGCTTTTGCGGGGTTTAGGTGAATCCGCAGCCGTGTACTTACCAAGGATCCAAGCAATGGAAGAAAATTTCTTGGGTTTATCATGACTAAACTCATAAGGTTGCCCAAACTAGAACACCTCTGGGGCATAGAGGATCCAAAGGTCGAGTTGCCTTGGGCAACTAAGGGATCCTAAGGCGGCCAGGGATTGCGGCTCAAGTCTTTGGCATTGGCCTGGAAAGGGAGGCTTTGGTGGTCATCTCTGGTATATACACGGTTCATGTCTGCTACATCAAGTGCAGTCCAACACATCCACCAATGAGTCTTATTTGGGGAGCAACGGTCGCAGCAAATTTGCAGCTCGACCGCTTCCCCTTCATTTTGTGACAAACAGGTATCATTAAGGTGACGCTCTCAAATTACCCTCTGAATGGTGGACACAGAAACAAAGCCCTTGAAAGTAACTTTGAACCCGCAACATGTTCATGTCAATAGACCCTGTCCTAAGGAGCAGACTGAGGAAAAGCATTTCCGTGTTCAAGGAGGCAAAACACTTGTATCAAACGGTACAGTGGAGGCAGACCAAGACATGTTACATTGCAAGAGCTCGACCAGGAAATGCCCATAAGCCTGTATATAAGCCCCCTACGTGGTTGAGCCACTCCAAAGCCAAAGAGTATGTGCAATAAACTGACTAAAGCTTGGTTTCTAGTTTTCTACAAGCCGGGCCAATCATTGGTGACTCCAGGTCAAAATTGGATTCTCCTCCCACCAGCTAAACCTGGAAAACCATTGTTGTCTTTAAGGGACCTTCTGGTGGGCTCCATTTTAGCGTAAGTTCGGGAAATTGTCTGGGCCTGACTGGGAAACAGGGGATGTGTGTTTCTTGGATCTACCACTGTAGCTTTCGAACGCCTGGCAAGGCCAGCTTCGGGCTACTTCGTTCAACGGCTCCAAGCCAACGGCGCCTCGCTGCTCGTTCTCCCGCAGGCCCTGGTAGGACTTCACCAAATCGCTCAGCTCCTTCAGGCCCTGAGAACGGGACAACCTGACTCGGCAACCAAACCAGAGACCTTCTAGGAACAAATCGGGAAACCATCATGTTGGAACCACTCAAACCTACATGTCATGTCCATCTTGTGGTCGGGTCCTAAGAAAGAATCATTCCTCTCCGAGTGAGATCCTTTACCCGTAGTGCCAGGGAGTCGTTGAAGGCCTCGAGTAAAGGCCGCCTGGAACGCCCTTGAAACCCACCAGAGTTCGGTAGTGGCAATTAATGCCAATTTGGGGATGCCAAAGGCAAACCGCAGCAATAGAAAACTCAGGATTGGGTGGTCTCAGGATGTAACCATGATGTTCAAACACTAGCCAGTTTGTGGTCACCCAGCAACAACCTGCTGTTTGCTGCTCGCGCCGCTCAGGAAGAAGTGAGAAGCCTGTCGTCAAACGTTACTTCCGAAAACAAGAGACTCAAGCCTTTGGCATGATGCAACGCGCATATATTACAGAGAATACACACCCATCCTCTTGCAAGGGGATGCCATGATATGCATCCTTCTACCACGCATAGCGTCAAATGCGAAAGAAGTGATTGCTTTTCGGTATGATGACCCCAAACCCATTCGGGGCTAGGGAATAGAACGAACACACACCCACACACACACACACCCGTATATTGGGACATGCTCCAATACAAACCAGGCGACTTGGCCAAATCCGAAACCCATTTCAACAAACAAAGCTAGGCGCGCCTTGTAAAGTCCGGCATTCTCCGCTGGCGGGGTCAAGTATGAGATGGTGGATGCATAGGATCGGCGCTTGGCGATGGTTGCCTCTGAAGGGTTGTTGGCCTCGGCATCACCCAGAGTCATGGAGAACAGCAGCAGCAGCAGCAGCAGCAGCAGAACAACAACAGCAACAAACAACAGCAGCAGGAACAACAACAAGAACAAGAACAAGAACAAGAAGAAGAAGAAGAAGGCGAAGAAGAAGAAGAAGAAGAAGAACAACAACAACAACGCCAACGCCAACGCCAACCACCAACACCAACACCAACACCAACACCAACAGCAACAGCAACAGCAACAGCAACAGCAACCCACAACCCACAACCCACAACCCACAACCCACAACCCACAACCCACAACCCACAACCCACAACCCACAACAACCCACAACCCACAACCCACAACCCACAACCCACAACCCACAACCCACAACCCACAACCCACAACCCACAACCCACAACCCACAACCCACAACCCACAACCCACAACCCACAACCCACAACAACCCACAACCCACAACCCACAACCCACAACCCACAACCCACAACCCACAACCCACAACCCACAACCCACAACCCACAACCCACAACCCACAACCCACAACCCACAACCCACAACCCACAACCCACAACCCACAACCCACAACCAACAACCAACAACCAACAACCAACAACCAACAACCAACAACCAACAACCAACAACCAACAACCAACAACCAACAACCAACAACCAACAACCAACAACCAACAACCAACAACCAACAACAACAACAACCAACAACCAACAACCAACAACCAACAACCAACAACCAACAACCAACAACCAACAACCAACAACCAACAACCAACAACAACACAACAACAACAACCAACAACCAACAACCAACAACCAACAACCAACAACAACAAACAACCAACAACCAACAACCAACAACCAACAACCAACAACCAACAACCAACAACCAACAACCAACAACCAACAACAACAACCAACAACAACAACAACAACAACAACAACAACAACAACAACAACAACAACAACAACAACAACAACAACAACAACAACAACAACAACCAACAATAACCAACAACAACAACAACAACAACAACAACAACAACAACAACAACAACAACAACAACAACAACAACAACAACAACAACAACAACAACAACAACAACAACACCAACAACAACAACAACAACAACAACAACAACAACAACAACAACAACAACAACAACAACAACAACAACAACAACAACAACAACAACAACAACAACAACACCAACACCAGCAACAGCAACAGCAACAGCAACAGCAACAGCAACAGCAACAGCAACAGCAACAGCAACAGCAACAGCAACAGCAACAGCAACAGCAACAACAACAACAACAACAACAACAACAACAACAACAACAACAACAACAACAACAACAACAACAACAACAACAACAACAACAACAACAACAACAACAACAACAACAACAACAACAACAACAACAACAACACCAACACCAACACCAACACCAGCAACAGCAACAGCAACAGCAACAGCAACAGCAACGGCAACGGCAACGGCAACGGCAACGGCAACGGCAACGGCAACGGCACCGGCACCGGCAACGGCAACGGCAACGGCACCGGCACCGGCACCGGCACCGGCACCGGCACCGGCACCAGCACCAGCACCAGCAACAGCAACAGCAACAGCAACAGCAACAGCAACAGCAACAGCAACAGCAACGACCACGACCACGACGACAAGAACAAGAACAAGAACAAGAACAAGAACAACAACAAGCCAACAACAACAACCACCACAACCACCACCACCACCACAACCACAACTACAACCACAACCCAACAACCCAACAACCGAACAACCGAACAACCAAACAACCAAACAACCAAGCAGCCAAACAACCAAACAACCAACAACCAAACAACCAAACAACCAAACAACCAAACAACCAAACAAACAAACAAACAAACAAACAAACCACCAAACAAACAAACCACCAATCACAACAACAACGACAACAACGACAATCACAACCACAACTACAAAACAAGCACCATAATTTTAACCCCGGATTAATAAACCCCTGGTTGATTCATAGGGGGGTGCCACCTTTCAGTGGGGATTCATCACTTTTGGAGGGAACACCCGCTAATAATGGGACGGGTTTATTCATCCTGGGTCAACATTAACCGCAACCGCGATCATGACAAAGACGACAACGACGACGGCGGCTACAAACAGCCCACGATTGCATATCTGCACATTCAGCCCAGGAGCCGCATAGTAGTAGATGTTCGGCAGGACCGAGATCAGTCGATCGGGGTAGCAGCCGCCTGACACACCGGAGAAGGCAACATCGCCAGGTATACACCCTTGCTTGCCCGACTGAGCAGACTAAATAAACACAAAACTATGCAGTGGTGCAACGGTTAGCTAGCACGGCAATACCCCTGCGTCTTTGGCAGCATGTATGCTAAGTAGAGAAGGTCAGCACGTCAAGCTAGAAACCAGGCATGGCATCAAACGTCCACTAAATCAATTGATTTCCGCGACACCTGGTTGTGAATGTAGCAAGCAAATCGGGCTCTCACTTTTCGCTTCGAGCGCTATGACTCAAGGGCCCTCGTACCAGAATGGCCCGGTCATGCACAACATGTTCAACACCCTGGCTTCAAACTATACAATTTACAGGGAGAATTCACACTCAACCTGCTTTCAGGTGTTGAACCGCTTCACAGCAAAAAAAGGATGTGACACTCTGTCACATTGTTCTCACGACTTCTCATTCGGATCTGTTTCGACCACATAAACTCCAGTGTTGATCACCTTCCACATGAAGTCCGCCTTCATTGGTTTCGTGAAACAGTCCGCAACCATTGTGGCAGTTGCAATCCAGCGAATCCGATCTCCTCCTTCTGGAAATGATACTGCTGTACGCGTTCCGTCTTCATTCCACAATGATTGTCTGATGGCTGCTATCTCGATAGATAGTCTCTTGTCTGCTATCTTCGGTGGAACCTCTGTCTTCAAATGGGACACAAGTGATCTGCAATCACTCAAGTATGTGTGCGGGACATACTTCTTGATAGTCTCGTACCAACCAGTCAAATTCTGCAACCGTCCCTGTGTCTCACATATCACTGCTCGGAGCTTGTCTCCGCTCTCGATCCCATTCTGCAATGCATACGTCTCTGCCTGCATAGTTGCGCGACAGACTCGCTTTATCGTGCTCGATGCAAATCCCAAAGGCACTACATCAAACGTCTCGCAATTCTGATCCCTTGCCTGTTCACTGGACACCAAGAAATGGAAACGCCCCTGTTGTGACTTATGGTTCTCCTCATTTGCAAATGACGCATCTGTGACTGTTAGAATACCGACATTTTGCCAGTCAAGTCTTCCCGCATGGAAATACAGACTCGACCCAATGCCTTCCAACGCCAGCTCGACAGTCTTGTTGGCCTCCTTCAAGGTAGCCACAGTGGCTGCCTTGGTCAAAGACTGCAACCTCGACGTCCTGTACAAAAGATCAGGGCGTCCCTGTCTGGCAATCCACGAAAGAGATCCAACCACTGACCTCAACTGCGACAGTTCCAATGGGTTTACTGCATCGGTCAACTTTCTGCCTATCTCGATCTTGATCATGCTCAGCTTCCTAGTGTTGTCATCCACGTCGATCTTGATCGAGCTGTCCTTCTCTTGGCTAATACGCTTTCCGCAATACCTGAAATTGCCTTCCTCGCTGCTTCCGACAACAAACTTGCTCAACAAGTTCTCGATCGTAACCTTTCCGGTTTCAGTGTGGGCATACAGGAAATCATCCACATGAGTGGTCATCACTGCATCTACTCTGCCATCCGCAACATGGTAATAGAACGCAGGAACAATCCTACTCGATGTCAATCCACATGCCGCTGCATCTGCACTCACCTGCAACCAGAAACCTCGACCGCTGTCAGTCAAGCCATAGACCGGTTTCCTAACCAGTAGATACGCCGTCGGGGAAACGTCCGGAAGTCCTCCTCGTGGCTGTCGCATAAGCAACACGCGATCCAACTCTCGGGCCTGGAAATACGCGCTGGTGATGTCACAGGACTTCACCGCCACCTGATGAGCTGCTGCCCAAGCACATACTATGTGGTGAGCCTCGACGTCACCAGTTGGTGCGTCACCTCGAAGTCCTTCACGATCCTCAAAATTTCCGCATATCACCAAACGGCTCTTGTACTTAGGTTTATATCCAGGCTGACCTCTCTGGAAATCGTTCTTGTCAACCTCGACCCATCTTGACGGAATGGCAACATGACCTGCATCCAACAGACCTCTCAGTTCTTCTCCGTCAATGGGAACAGCTGCTCCGAACTTCTGGAATTTCTCCCATTCGGCCGCTCTAGCCTCTGTCAATGCACGCTGCACCTCCTCACTTGCTTCGTCATATACGAGCAACCTTTCTTGCACCGCATTCTTGTTTCTCTGTGCGTTCTCTGTCTCGCTAACCCTATCTGCGATGAATGCCACGTACTTCTCTCTGTTCACATGAACATGGCCAAACGCCATATTGGCAGTCATGCTTGCGTCCTCCGAGCTCGCACTCTGCTGCCCACTCATCTGTTCAAAGTGGCTCCTAATGGAATCGGGCAAATCATCCACTAACTGTGCACTCGTGCGTCTGGACTGCTCTGGCACAATGTCATGTCCATGAAGAATCAACCTCCCTAGGGCCTCAGCATCGTTTGCCGGTCTCAGATTCCTCCCATCAACAAGCACTGGGATGTTTTCACACAACACCCAAACCTTCTTGTCACCTTCTTTTCCGATCACTCTGCTTGCCGGACTCCATTGGGTCTTCCCCATGAAATCTCTGCGAAAACACACGATGTCCCCGACCTCGTAGTTCTCATAAATCGGCTGCGCGTTCCTGAGCAACGCCCTTTGCACGCGCTTGCTGCAATCGAGTTCTACGAATGCTTTCTTTGCTTCCATTCTTGCTTTGTGCTGAAGTGCAAAGATGGAATCGGGATCAATCCTGTCCCCAATCGCTCCAAGGTCGGTCCAACCTTCTTCATCCATGAAGCTAGGTGCTCCTCTCGGGCATGTACCTAGAACCCATTGCGATGGGCTGTAGCCGCCCACTCTGTGCATGGAGTTCTTGATCCGGCAACATTGCGTCAGCACTTGGTCCACCTGATCAATGCCGACCGGTTGTGTCTCACTACACACTCTCCTATACATTGCCTTGATGATCCCTCCATGGCGTTCCACACGTCCAATGGCTTCAGGCGTTTGCAACGGAGCGTGAAACACTTGGATTCCATTCGCCGACATGTACTTCGCCAGAACTCCTCGATTGTGTAATCCTCGGTCCGACACCAGCTCTGACGGATGTCCTGCCCAGGCGAACCAGCGTTCATCCAATGCTCTCAAACATTCTGCACTTGAAGCTTGCCCCTTTCCTTTTCTTAGGGCCTTTACCTGCTGAAACGTTGTGCCACAACACAACATGTTCTGCACCAGATACTTGTCACCCTTGGCATCCGAAACGTCAAACAAGTCTATCCCCAAGGTGTGATTGAATTTGTACCTGTGCGGCAGCATGGTCTTGTGTGTAGGTTTCTTCGGCGCACTATTCTCGCAATCTGGGCATCTGTGCAGTTTGAGTGCTTCGATGTATACCTTTGCGATCTTCGCGCTTCTCAACAAGCTCTCCAACGTTCGTGGCGCCGGGTGACCGAACTGCCTGTGCAAGCGTCGCACCGCCACCCTTACCTTCTGCGGTATCGCCCGCCAGGCCTTCCTCCTTTCTTGCTCCTTGGCTGGCAAATCCGGAATGTCTATGCTATCCAGCACTTCCCATTCCGCCATCTCCGCATTTCCTTTCAACACAGGATTGAACACTTCATCCCTCTGTGAATCCGAATCAGGATCATCCGGCATGTCAAAGGTGACTGCCTCCTCCTGTTCATCTTCTTGCATTTCAACGGGGAAACCAACCGACAACATGTCCTGTGCCGAAGCCTCATGTGCCTTCTCGCTCAGGAAGTCCAGGAACTCCGAGGTCCAAACCTCACCGATCGACCTGGGCACATATGACGGGTAACTCATACTCACCCATGCTTCGAATGCTTCTCCCAGCAAAATGTCGTTAGTAACATACCCCACGTCTGAAACGCACAACTCCGGATACAGATGAATGGAGTGCTGCGACCACCTGTTTGTTTCTGCAAGATCCACTTCCAAATATCTTCCTCCTACCAACTCGCAATGCGAAATCACCATGTCCATGATATCCGAGTGATTCAAGGAAGTTGACCAGTCAGAGTACTCAATGGCCACAACAACCGTGCATGCGCCGCCTTTGTCGAGCTCCTTCTTGATGGCTACCAGGTCAGCCCTGTGGGCGTCCTTGCCGACCGACACACATTGGATCCCATGAGTACGGCAACATGGACCATCCGATGTAATGAGAACAGTGTGCACCGGGGAAACCAACGGCATGTCCCGTTTACCCAGAACATACTGCAAATCGGCATCCCTCTCATTCATGGTGCGAAGCCCATTCACGAATTCCCTCTTCTGTCCCTTACTCATGGTTCCTTTGTGGCTTTCACCAATCGCCATCAAAGCTGTTGCTTCCAACGATGAATCACTTGAAGGAGAAAGCACCGTACATTCCTTCAACGGGGGGCTTTTGCGTGCACCTGTGACTACGCTGGCTGTTCTCGACTTCCCCTTTGCTCGTTTTTCAACTTCAGCCATCGGTGGTTGCAGGAGCACCACGGCTATGCTATCCTTCGGATAGTCCACCCGCATCTTCGCGGGAACATCCTGCACCAACAGGCGCCACTCATCGTGGTCGCCACCCTTGGGCCGAGCAAACACCGTCTTCCGCCAGCCTCTCTTGATGAACTCCTGCGGCATCCTGAACGACTGACCATAGCCACGCACCCGCAGATAATACTTGATATTCATCTCATAGTTCATCTCCTTCACTGGCTTCTCCTTCTTCGACTGATCAATCTCGTAAGGACCAATCCATCCTTCGTGATCATGAGTGACGTTCTCCACAAACTTCTGCAACCAGTACTTCGGCGTCAACTGAAGCTGCGCCCTCTGATTGTATTGCAAGCTCATCTCAAATGGTCTCGTTGATCGTGCCGAGAAATCTCCAGGTCCACAACGATCAGGGTCAACATCGCCAATGAAGTCCGTGTCACCACGCGCTGACCGCGCAGAATCATCCCGTGCTGTCTCCGGTGAGCTTGCCTTCCTTTTCCGCGACTCGCGGCTGTCGAACTCCCTCCATGGCGCACTACCCAACTCCAACGTCCTTGACGATGTGGATCGGCTCGTACGCCTGAGAGGCGTCCTTGACCTGCCCCTCGAGCTCCTGGCCTTGTCGCGCTCCTCCACCAGTCCCTTCACCATGCCAGCAAGCCGAGACACCTCGGCCTTCAACTGTTCCATCTCCTGATTCTTCTCCTCAACAGCTGGCACCTTCACCGGGTTCTCCTTCGCCACCGATTGGGGTTTCGCCTTGGACTGAATCTTCATGAGCATAGGCTTCGGCGTCGAAACTCGAGGAGCCGCCGGCTTGGGAGCGTTTCTCTGCTCCTTCGGGAACGAACTCTCCACCATCTCAATCAGGTTGTTCGCATTCGCCTCCGTCATGTTGCACATCTCGCAATGACCGCCACAGTCCATTCTTCTCCAGCTGTCACTGTGATAGTGCACAATGCGCCAGTTGTCCTCAGCCATCCTGCACAGCATTGCACCAAACAAGGTCGCACCTGAGACACTCCGATGACGCCCGCTCTTGCATACAAATACCACATTGCATGCGCCGCCATGTTCCTGATAAAAAGCAAGGGCTCGTCTCAACAGAACACGCATCTCAAGTGTGTAGACCCCCTTGATGATCTGCAAATGCCTGCCAACGTGTCCTCGATACCGGCCGCAATCAGGGTCATGAATGCCCCTGCAGTCCAGCATCACCGTCGGCAAACTCCTGCGGTTCTCCGGCAAGATCTCCATCACCACGTCGTGATCTCTCTCCATCTTCATCATCTCGTGGTTGGCAAAATCCCAACGCAGCCCCACCGAGAATACCACAGTGCCAGTGTCGCACACCAACTCCGGCACCCTGTTGTACCTGTACATCCCCTGCAGGAGCTGCACACAATCAGGTTCATCCTTACCACCAGCCATTGCCGCAGGAGGGAAAATCACTTCAGCTCTGAGCGCACGAACTGATTTGGGCAGTTTTCTAACTTGCTGGTACTTCTGAAATTCCGAGAGGTTAATCATCATCAGCCCTGTTCGTGAACATCTGTGGATTTTGAGTTCGCCATGTCCCTTGATGTTGACTGTTCCTGCACCCATGTCCTTCACCAAGCCCAAAGTCGCTTGAGCATACAAGGAAATCAACAAAGGTGTCTTGCCAGAGTTCAACTCATGTGACTCCAAAGTGCCTGAAATAACTTCATCATTGGTCAAACACATCGCAAACGGCATTCTTCGCATGCCCAAGGTCACCGCATTCGAGGCCAAACCAGTAAACCTCTTCGTTTCCTTGTTAATCCATGGCATGCTCATGCCCTGCTTCCTAAGCCTCTTCTCCATCTCATCTGCCCAATAAGATGAGTGGACCGTGCTGTTGCAACCCTCATCCAACGCTCCCCACACATCCTCTTCGTCTTCTGCATAAATGTCAACAACAGGAAAGTTTTGAACGGACACCGTGTCAGGTTTCATCTCGTCGTCCATCCCGTGATAAGCGACCGCTTCCCAGGGTGGTGATGCTGGCTCACCCCCTTGCGTCACTTCCACCACACAGTCCTGCAGGATGATGTGCAGGTCTGCAGCTGCCAGCTCCTCACCTGCCGCGAGAGATTGGGTCACAACCGCCGAAAACGTACCTACAATTTCCTCCACTTGACCTTCTGACAACCTATGTTGGGCATCTGCTGAAGCAAGTCCTTGTATGATGGGTGCCACAGTGATGTTGGCCTGCTCAACCTGCTTTGATGTTGCCTTCATTTCCTTTCTATCTTCCATGGGCATTTCACTGATGAAGCTAGCACATTGCTTGCACCACACTCGAAACGTCGACCGGGAAGAACCTCTGTGATCAACCAGCTCATGCGGACAGTTCTCAACAGAATGAGTTGGTTTGTCTTCCCGTTTCGTCGTGGTCGCATGGCCACAATCTCTGCAAGTTTTCCGAACCGTGTATCCTGTTGATCCTTGATACGAGAAATACTTGCATTCCACACACTTCTCAAGGGGTGGATTCGGTGGCTTCCTCGACGAAGATGGCTTTTCCATGGGGTTGTACGTACCCGGGGGAACAGCTAAAAGCGATCTCTTCGTCAGTGTGCTTCCCTCAACAACGTAATGCTTCATGACCCAGCTGAGGAAAGATTGCAAAACCTGCGATGGCTTCTTCTGTGACAATCCCCATGCTACATACTGAGGGTTTTGAATGACAATTTGCCGATATGTCATTCCCTTGTACTTCCCGAGAAGCATCCTCTGCTCACCGCCTTCCAGGTCCTCATCCATCTCCCCCTCACGAACCACGATTCGAGCTCTGTTGTTTCTCGTGACTGCATCTTGATCCTCGGAAGGGGTATTCATGGGAATGGGCACAGGGTCAGACGATCTAGGTGGGCTCCGTGGAACAGGCACAGAATCCGACGCATTCGCCTTTGTGTAACCCTTGCCTGATCTAGACGACCTGGAATTGGACACTACCAAAGCCACGCCTTCAGGTGCCTGACCTGCCTGCAAGCAAATCTCGTGATCACTTGAAGTGTCACTGTCATAAACCACAAATGCTGATCCAGCAGGCTTGTCACCTTTCCCTTTTGGGCCCGGAAATTTGCAATCAGGGTCACCGGCCCAGTGGCCGTGCCCTCCACACCTGAGGCATTTGCTTCTCTTCTTCAACTCCTGCAACTTTGATCGGCGCTGTTCCAGTGTCAGATGTGACCGAACCAACTTTCCTTTCCCTTTTCCTTTCGGTCCTTTTCCCCCTTTTCCTTTGGCCTTACCAAAGGCGGCATTCGCTGCCAGCTGCAGCTGAATGGCTTCTCCGACACTGAGCGGATCACTGCTCTCCGCATCCAACTCTTCCATGGCGTTGAGAGCAGTGGCCTCGCCTTCATCACCTATCTCTTCAAACTCGCCATAATCGAGCACCTCTTCAGGATCGGTCATCGGTGTTTTGTCAACACCACCGTCCACTGTGTACCCGAAACCTTCATCTTCAGCTTCTTCATGCGGATTCATGGGCTCCCCTTCTTCCCATTCAGGATACCCTGACCAAGCTGGAAGCGCGGACCTTCGCCAGTACCCACTGCCAGACGAAGATGAAGAGCTGTGAAAAGAAGACTTCCCCTTTCCTTTTGTCTGATAGCCTCCTTTCCCAGTCGAAGACGGGCCCAGCACTCTTCCTTCTCGAAGATGTACTCCACCGTAATTCCTGATCAGGGCCTCTTCAACCTTGCTTAGCTCTCTTCCGCCCTCCGAACAGGCTCTGATCACAAGGATCTCTTGGTGTGAGATGTTCGCCAACTCGAGCATCAACTCTGAGCGCATCTGCTCAGACAACGACAGCGTTGGATCCATCTCCACAAGGGTCCTCCACCATCTGCGCCTTCGAGAAATGTACGAGATCATACTCTCCCCTCTCTGCCGGGAAAGTGCTCCTTGAGGTTTCTGACCAACACGAAACAGCTCACGAGCTTCCTCAGTGGCTCTTGGGAAAACCATGTCTCTCATTTGCTTGATCAAATTCTCAATACCTTGCGGCTCACTCAAGGCGTCAAGTCCGAGATCACGGGCCACCAAGAACGCATCGCCCCGAAGTCCTTCTACAATCCGGTGCGTGAGCTCCGACCTCGTGTCCCTAAAAGCCTCCTTGGCCTCCTCAGCTTCTGCAGAACCACCTTCTTCTTCTCCTTCTTCTTTCACAGTCCGCTTGGCTGTTTTCTTGGTTCTCAGAAACTCCTCATACATCCTCAGGCGAAGCTTGGTGCGGAATTCCCAATCATGGAAACCAGCGGGGTCTCCACCATAGATGTATGAACCACTCCGAGTTTCAGCAGGGTCTGTTGCACGAGCGCCATGGTCCGGGCTGAAACGAAGCCCGGCCACTGACATGACCTACCGCCCTGACTTGCCCGGAGTCGTTCAACCAACGCTCCGCTACCAATGTGAATGTAGCAAGCAAATCGGGCTCTCACTTTTCGCTTCGAGCGCTATGACTCAAGGGCCCTCGTACCAGAATGGCCCGGTCATGCACAACATGTTCAACACCCTGGCTTCAAACTATACAATTTACAGGGAGAATTCACACTGGTCTTTCTATGGCTGCATGTCAACCCTGAACTCAAGCAGTCGAGAACATGCAAAAAAAAACGTGCGCTAGCCAACACATGGCAGGCAAATGTGGGAGAGAATGAAAGCCATACGAAACCCCCTTTTGGCCTTACAACGGGCCATATAGGCTTCCCCCTGACTGTCACTTGAGTTTGCATTGGCATCCTCCACCCTGAAAGGAATCACAAACACCCCCTCACATGGCAGACTTCCTTTGGGGTGCCCCTTACTCCATGTTGAAATTGTATCAAATAAATCCTTGGGTCGATCAGCTTCTTCAAGCTCAAAGGCGCCAATTTGCTACTCGCTTGCTCCCCGGGTCCTATGGCTGATGGGGTGTCCTAGTTGCCGTTGAACTATTGCCTAGGCTTTAGAAAGGGCGTGCTAGGAGTCTAACAGAACCAATCATTGATTTGGCTGCTGTTGGTGCATTTCCTTACAGGTTTGTCACGTGATTACCTCAGCTCCTGTCAACGAGCACTGCTCCGCGCCTAATGGCATTGCGCTGCTTCTCTTGGGGTTGGGGGGAAATGAACGAAAAAGTAAACTGTCAGATATGCGGCAAAGCGAGCATTTAAATCACCTCTCTGGACTATCAGACTATCAAAACCTCTTCCGTGCACCCAAAACGAAACCGGAACGGCCATGCCGTCAATGCGAACCCAGAGAAAAACCGGATCACTTTCTTGAATGATTTGTTCCAAAGAAAGCCAAAGGGATCACCAAGTTGAATTAAAGGGGAACAACATTTACAAGAGAGAAACCCAGCCTGCCTTTTTAGGGATCACGGAAACCTGGGGAAACCCGCAATTTTGAGAGCTCCTCTTAGAGAAAACCCCGCCTGACATGCCCACTTGCTTGCCGGGCATGAACTCCAGAGACCCGTGGGTGCCGAAGTGCAACAAGGCGTCCGCCTATGCCCCATGGATGCCGGGCCCTTGGGGAAACCCAAGGGTTCCCCATGCATATGTATCTAGGCATAGAGTGTGTGTATATATGTATATATGTATATATATATATATTTATTTGTGTAAGATGAATGTCCGCCTAAGATGGAAAACAAGCTTATACTAGACAGGTCCCCCAGGACCCTTCCGCCAACACTAAACAACTTGAAAACAGGAATACATGATAATAAGCGGTGCTTCTCCAAAAACGACAACATGTTACTACACAGGTCCCCACAATAAAATCGAACAAAAGAGGCCCCACCCCAAATAAAAATTCAAATCCCCCTGGTGATGCCGCTGCTACCTTTTTTCCATGCGCATGCTGCCGTACCCCGAATCTTGTTCATTTGTGTTCACTTGACTTTCGTTGAAATGCAAAAGCAAAGAAAGCTGCCAGCTTTGTACCAGTACTAGCGCAGCCATGAATCAGTTTCAAGCCAACACAAACATCAGCCAGAAGGCGCTCAAATCCAACAAAGTGTGTCTTTCTGAAAGTGTCATTTCTTTATAAACTCCCGTTCAAAATGGTTTGAGGTAACATGAGGTACCCCACATGAGTGCCCAGCCCATGTTAATAATGTGGGTCTCCATGGTATTGGTTCGGGCCACCTGGGCAGCACCTACTTTTGAGCTCCAGTAGTACTAAATCAAAAGGAAACTCAAATCCAACAAATACTACATCAAATACATGAAAGATCAGATCAAATTCAAAAGCAATACTAGGTCACATGGAAAGTCAAATCCCACAGTACTGAATCAAGTGGATACTCAAATCAACATATCAAAAGGAAGCTCCGACAATACTATTCAAGTGGAAACATGCACCGAAGCTCCTTTTGAGAATCCTTCTGGAGTTCTGCAATCCTCATTCCCAATTCAAAAGTGGTATTGCCCAATACTACAGTAGACCTCCCCTATTGCTTCAGTCCCAGAATCGTTTTTTGGATTTTTGGAGGAAAACACCTTCTGGACCTTCTCAGGGAGAGGGAGAGGCTACTAATCCGACGTCAACATTCTCTATATATATATGTTAGATGCAAGAAACAGTGTTGTGTTTTTTTGTTCGCCTTGACCAAAATGCATTGGACACAAACGTCCCCCCAACAAATACTGTACATTGATTTAGAGCAGAAAGCGCCAAAAGGGACCCCGTTCCTTGGGTGAGACTGCAAGCTTGCACAAATTGTTCCCAAACTCGTGATGCGGTCTTGGCACGGTGCAAACACAAAAATCAAACACTTCTACACCAACAACATTTGAGGGGTCCAAATCCGTGGTTTGACACGCACACACACACATATATCAAGTTTGCAGCCAGCTGAGGTTTCTCGCGCCTTGAAGATGAACTCCAGGTACGTGTAGAAGGCTGCAAAGCCGTGGTGAGGCGAAGCCGACTTGGCAAAGAGCAACCTGACCACGGCGAGTGGCGAGTGTCGCATGGCGAGTTCCCTACTTGATGTGTCAGATTCAGTCAACCCTGAAATATAGAGTATTTTACGAGACCCCAGATAAGGTCTGCAGCAAGTAAAGCGATGCCAACAACTTACATAAGAACCCGACCCCGCTGAACTAGCCTTCCTCAATGGAGCTGGTGAAGCCATTGGTTAGCAAAGAGGAGAATTTCTGGATGTGCGCCCCTTCTTACACATTCAATTGGAGGCTTAGCCCTGGATGCCCCGCGGGGGATTTTTTTGCTTGCTTGCTTCGAGCCGGTAGCCTCAACTGGCTCCCTCATCTCACCGAATATTGCCCCTATCTCTGCTATAATAGGGCTCTGGAGGATTTGTGCAGACCCACCTGCAATGATGAGAGAAAGCCAGGTACCCCTTGAGGACTTTTACAACAGCAGCAATCTGGCGACTCCTTGTTTCGACATTGGAAGCGAACAAATCAACAAATCAAATGAACCCCGCTCTCTGCAAGTGGGTTTCGCGGCCGGAAAGCAACCTCGGGCTCTGTGAAGCCGCTCCCGAGGTGTTTGTGCCACTTCCACCACCCCTACGTGAAGTGCCAAGTGAAGCACCCAAATTCGAGATAAACCATTTGCATCAACACATGGGGTTACTCCCCTGCAAACTAACATGGACCCTCCCAAAAAAGGCGTCCCAAACAAGGGGCGACCTCTGAAAACCATGGCTTTTTGGTTTCCGTGTTGATCTGCGGGAGGGTATTTCCCCAGGAACAGTTTGGTCAGAATCAAAAACATAGAAACACAGCCCCTGCAGCTTCTTCAACGAAAAACCACTTGCGCAATGCCTCTCATCCAACCAACATGTTCGAGATTCTGAAAAAAGCGGCAAACACGTGAGTCACGTGTTTGTTTCTATCCAACGCAGGCACAGAGTTGACTCAGCTAACGGCTGCAAGCCTGCATTTGGACACGCAAAAGCCGCATATTGTGGGTATCGGACGGTATTACTTACTTACCGAATACGTCATAGGTCTTGATAGGTTTTGGAGATTATGAGCTAAGTGATGTCGCGCCGAATACAACCGCAGTCATTCGATCATATTGTCGGGTACATGGCACCTCATAGGATCTCCCTCGTAGCCGAAGGTGGGCTGAACGCCGATGAAGACGTTGCCGAACTGTTTGCCTCAGCCGTGCGAAGCCCTCCAAACATGATATGAGCCCGGGACAAAATTATTGAGTACATGTCAAGACAGGGGAACAGCCAAACCTGTGGTTTGCATGTTGGTTTCCCTTGAAACCAATTCCCAAACATGGTACCCTCCAAAAAACATTATCACGTGTTTCCCCAAAAAAAACATGTCAAATTTGGGTGGGCCCCCAAGTTTTGCAGAACATTTAGGGAGGCTCTCTGTGCCCCGTGCAAACTAAGAAAGCGATTGCGTCAGTTGCTCACATGTGCTGCATGCTGGCCCCTTATGCTTTCAGGCATGCTGAAGAAGGTTCCTCAAACTGCGGGCATCCATGCTTTCCATGAGAACCCCTGATGAATGACAAGGGGATGAATCAATTAAGATTCATGGGCTTGAAAAACACTTCGATATCTTTCGCTACCATTGCCAGGGTGGGGCCAATGACCGCAGTTTCAAGTTCCCAATCCTATGCAAAGAATCGAAGCAACACCCTTCACCACAAAATGACTCAAGCAACGCTCACAACCCAAACCCCGGTGTGCAGCAAAACCACTATGTTCAAATTATGCATCATACCAAACAAAAATACACTCCTAGAGCCCTGGCCTTATGAATGCACTTCGAACAAACAGACAAGTGCGCAATCTGCGTTTCAAAGTCTAAGGACCAAGGCTGGGCACAGCTTGTTTAAAGGCCTTCAGCATCCCTCACCTTCAAAAGGGAAGAAAAGCAAAGGGTGGGTAGACAATACTGTAAGAATGCTCCGCTTCCAGTTCCGCAAAGCTGTGGAATGCTTCACGCAACCAATGTCTTGGTGGTGTCACCTCTTGCCCCTGCCTAGAGGCTTTTCTCGCAGTCACTCATCTGCCTTGAAAGAAGGGCTCTGCAATAACAACAAACTGGCTGAAAGTGAGACCCTAAGGTAGAGGGTCGAGTTAGTCCCGCTTCCCAACAGCGCTTTGCGGGTAAGCGGTCGACTCCCTGAGCTTCCTTGACGGGCGACCGTAAATCAGCATGTCCTGGCCATCCGTGTTGAGCTCTCCCGGCGGCGGCCCCCAGTTCTCCCGCAGGTCATGGGCGAAGGGGCACAAGGTCTGGCGAGCGCTCGCCGCATTCGGGCACCTCCTACGTGACGGACCTTCAAGAGGCTAGCGGAGGGCCTTTTCCTGGGAAGGCCTAGGATAAACCAATGAGCCCCATTGAAAGGTAAATAGGCGATAGCCCGCCTTCCCATACGTAGCTTTCGGAGTCCATGACTAAGTGCCTTGGCTTTTGGCCTCATGTCAACCATTGCTTGCCTTTGAAGGGCTGGCAGGGCATGAACCGCACGTAAACATGTTCAGGAGTTGTACTCCATCTAGCATGGTGTGGGAATACCTGAAAAACAACAACTCGAGACTGTCAGACGTTGGCATTTTGTCCAGAGTCCACGACTTACACCTTTGCCAGTGGTTCAAAATATCGGCAAAACTAAGGAGTCGCCGCCAATTCCAGGCAGGAGTGTGCCCTGTGATGCGCTTTCGGATTTCGCCTTCGCGGTTCAAACATCAAGGCCCTATGACAATTTGAAACATTGAGAGCAAGATCCAGAAACTCCGTGCAAGGCAACGCACCCATGGCCTCATACTCGTTCACGCTCATGCGGTAGGCCACGTTCAAGTCCGACATGGACATGGAGGCTTCAGGGTCCTCCAGGATGGACTTCTGCAGTCCTGGCCCGGATTTCTGCTCAAGGCTTAAATGATTGCATGCGGTCGCAAATCCAACAGGAGTTCCCCGTCCACGCAAAAAAAGGACAGGACAAAAACGCTGTCCTTTCACCAAACCCAGAACTTCTGGAATCCAACACCAAATCGTGAGAGATCCCCAAGCCCCGCCCATCCCCTCGCCCAGTTCACCGCAAATCTGCTCTTCGTGAGACCTTGCTGTCACTTCTCGGGACAAAACACATGTTTGCGAGTTCTCAGGTTCACATTTGGTCAACCCTACCATATAATCTGAGCAGAGCCCAGGGAAGAGGGGGTCTTAAGGGGGATGTTGTGCCAAGTTCTCAAGAGCGGTCGTCCAGCCTTGGGCATCCTCCGGGATGTCGTCCACAGTGTAGCCCTGGCTCTTCAGCTCCTCGCAGGGAAACATCACGACCTGGGGGCCAGCCCTGGATAAAGCCAAGCACCTTTATCAGGGTTTAATGGGTGATAGCACCCCCTTGCCGCCGGGTTCAAGCCAAGGTTGTCAAACCCTGGATCTCTTTTGGGACTCAACAACGCGCTAGTTTGCTTTGGGTGGTTTTGCAAATGGAGGATGCTACACCCGCGAGGCGAAGCTTAATGCAAACAGGAGCGTCACGGCATTGACAGCAAAGCACGCAGAAAGGTCAGTCTTTTGCCAGCTTCAGGTAGTAAGGAACTTGCTGTTGGTAGGATGTCAAGAGACAGGCCCGCTTGGGCGCTGAAGTTGGGTCATTGAGCTACTGACTGTGTCATTGCGGTTCAAGAATCCAAGTCGACAGTCAACACCCTGTGAGCAACTCAGCAAAGTCATGTAACTGGCTCAGGTAGCAAGTCGCAGGTCATTTGTAAACTTGCAATTTTAGGCCTCGTGCGCATGGAAACCCTTCCCGTTTGCTTGTTGCCTCGTTGTTTTGTTGTGAAAAATAGATACCCCTGCTCATTTGCTCGTCCTTGGAACCCAGCCAAATGATCGAGATCAGTCGCATCAAAATACCCCTCCTTCATCACTGCATGGATGCTGCCAAATACGTCCAGGTAGGCGGCGGTGCCAACATTGCCCTTGTCCGGAGGGAACTGGAACACGCAAATGCTCAGCTTCTTCTCCTCAGTAGCGGAGGCAAGCATATCTACATGAGGGAACCCAAAAGAAGGCTGGTGTTCGGAGGTTTCCCTTTAAGCCCGACCAAAAGGGGGAACCTTCCCAAAAACGCAGCCATTAGTAGCATTGTATGCAAGCTACGAAGGGAAACAAAGGTTCACCTGGAGCCAGAGCAGCCCACGCCTCGCGAAACTCAAACAAGTTCAATCCAAACAACAAATCCAATATGGGAAAACTGGCTTCCCCCATTTAGGGAAACGCCATTGAAATTGTTTCCCAAAGGTCGTTGTGGGTCGATGCGGTCACAAGCCATGAATCGAGACCCATTCTGCCACAGCAAGCTCCCGCCCGGCGAGCCGGTAAAGCCCAGGAACTTTGGTGAAACCCTCGTGAAAGGGTAGAAGATTGGCCTCTTCCAGAAAAACAGAAGGCCCCCTTCTACAAGATGTCTGGGGTTGCTAAATGCGTGCACCATGGGGTTCCTTTGCTCTCAATACTGAAACAAAAACAAGACACAGCCTTAGATTTCAGACGGAACATGGACTCACACTAACGCAACATCACACACAGAATCCATTTCTTGCCACAATCGAGGTTCTTTAAGTTGTAGTGTAGAATGCGCTGCCTGAAGCTACCACGGTGTACATGTGTCGTTTGGTGATGTACTAAATTGCTTGTTGCTTACTGCAACGTGTTCACGGGTGTGAAATTTGTTGGTCAGCTACTCATGCTAAGTGTATGTATAATATGTTTCAATTCCGAACCCTTTGGTGGACATCATTGAGCTGGGGATTCATGTCCACCAAGCACCTCTGAGATGGTTCCCTAGTTGAAATCATAGCCCGATGGACTCGTGGATGCCCAAACTTCCGAGGCTCCGAGTTGGGCTTCCGCCGCAAGTTGGCCCAGTTCAAGGACCGGGTGGCCAGCGAGCTGATGCGGTCCTATCGGACAGGCAAACAACCAGAAGAAACACACACAGAATATGTTGGATTTTGCATAAGAGTATTTCCAACATATTGATTGGATTTTGTTGGACCCCGTCATGTTGTGCCAAGAGAACAGCTGTTATGCGACTTCTCCCCCGTACGCGATTTGCCCCTTTGGGTCCGTCCTGAAAACTGCAGGGATCCCTACTCTAATGACACACTCATACATGTGCCGGTGTGCGCGTACACACAGAAACAAGTGCCTTTCACCCAAACCTCCAGAAAGTCTGTCACAGAGCGTGCCATTTTGACCTTGTAGGGAGCTGGTTGATCTGATTCATCAATGGGAAACTTATCTGAAAAAAGCCCCAAAGTAATCGATATCAAGCTGAAACAAACCGAAACAAAAGGAGTTAAACATGCCTTCCTGCACACCAATAAATTGTTGGGATTGTGAGAAGTGCGCCAATGCGCTACTCTTCATGAGACGGGCTTCGTATCTCGTCCTAGGAAGCTCAGCTGAGATCATTTGGGTGGATAAGTTTTGAGGGGACCAAAGAACAAAACAACACACATTCCCCGGGTTGCCTGTCCCCTATTTTGACACACAGCCCAAGTTACCCCGATTGAACAGCGCGGGACCCCAAAGAGTGGCTTTGCATCGGTTGCGAGGTGAGATCAGGGTGCTTTGAGCAGGTGGCTTCAGGACTCTGAACCAAAGCATCTCCATAGAGCACCAAAACCCGGACTGCCGGGCTATGTGCTTTGCTGCTTGCACATTTCATCAGCAATCTGCACACTATGCCCTAACTCTAGACCAATGTGCCAATTGAGGGCATTCAAAGGCCTCCAAGAACTGTCGCATTGCGCCACTCCCCGTTGGCACTATTTCTTCCCCAAAGGTAGCCGAGAATGATAGTCAAACAAAAGCTGGAGAGACTCTCCCGTCCCCTTCCCTTCCCCTTCATCCGCAGTTTGCTCTGCTTCACCTAGCCATCCCCCGCACCATTCGGGTGCGTGTGCATGTGCGTATGCGCGTGAGTGTGGGTGTGCATCATTCCGAGGGTACCTTTTCAGGTTGATGTTGATTTGTTTAAGGGAAAACCCAAAAGGGACATTGCCATATTGTTGGGCCGCACCAGTTGACGCCACCCGGACAGGAATCCCACCCCCATTTTAAAGCCCCTTTGGGTTGGTTCAAAGGGCAACCAAGGGAAACCGCCCATTTCCCCCCCCCCCCCCCCCCGAAAGCCACCAGGTCCTGCATGGGAATGGACCGACCGCTGGTGCCGTCGCGCCCCGAGAAGATGAGGGGCTCGATGGCCCCGTCAATCTCCGGAAGCGACACCTGCAGAGCCACCTGACAAGTGGCATGGCACGCAGCCCAGCGACCCCCCAGTGGCCTGATGTGTATGTCTCTCTTGTTTTTGAGGCCATCCGTTTCCAGGTCGGCTTTGAAGGAAACCAAAAGGAACATCACGATTTTTGGCCTCCCTCTTTTGACACATACCCTACTGAGTTGACTAGGGTATGGGAAGGGGTGGGAGTGTGGCCAAACTCAGTTCGAACTATTTGGACCCTGACTGAAAATGAAAAAACCGCCAAACAGAAAGATCAAACGTGACAATGGAGAAATGGAACCCTTTGGGTGGACCATGCGGCATGCCACCTGCATACCCACTCCTTCCAAGCCCGTGCTCATTGCTTCCTTACACCGCCGTTTCCGGAAAGTGGTCCGAAAGGGCTTCCCAGCTCTCTGTTGGCGTCGAAAAGCGAAAGAAGGCGAGCACCACTGAAGAATGGGGCATCATGTGAAAGAAAGGGAGTCCACAAGGCTCTGCACTGAACGACTGGTACCGTATATGCTCCTTTCTCCCAGGTGTCAGCTTCACAGGGCCCATCGCTTAGCACCTTTCTCAATACATGAAAGTCTAGACTCAGTTGCCCAGGGGGCCCAAAAGTAACAGGTGACATGTCAAAAAAAGTAACCAACATTGGGGAACCAAAGGATCAAAAGGTCGGCTTTGGGCAAGTGAGTATGTATATATATATATATATATATTATATTATATACATATACATATATATATATATATATGATGTTAAACCCCCACCATGCAAATGACTCAGGGACAACCACAAGCGATGGCAAAAGTACAAAAGGCCACTTAGTGCGGGTTTCTAACAGGCAATGTAGGTTACTGCAAACGCAACCCCAAACCAATCATAAAGAAACACTACACCCACTGTAAATCCACACTAAGCCTACCAGCCCACCGTTCACAAGGGTGCATGGCAACCTGTTGTATCCTTGCTTGCTGTCCGAAAATCCATTTGCTTGGTGGAAAGTCAAAACCAAGAGACAAAACAAACATTTCGCGAGTCCCGTGATGGAGACCCGTTTCCCCAGAAAACTTGTCCGCTGGCAAACCTTGCAATATAATTACACACATGGGCGTGTCTTTTGGTTGAGGATGCCCCCTTGCGCTTCTTCACGGAGACCAATTCAATGGGAAACCAAGGCCTATTTCGGAAAACCCCCTGATTAAGAGGCAGCTCACGATACAACTTCCGAGGGGTCCACACCTCCAGGGATATCCAGGGGTCCAACATCGGAGGGGCATATCGAACCAAAGTTCAACCGAGTGCAAATCAATCTTGATTCATAGGATCCACCCCCCACCCCAAAATCTTCAAAAAGACAGTTTTTTGCTTTTTTTTGGGTGAGGGTGTGCTTTTGAGCTTGGTTTGAAGGAAAACCAAAAGACAACCACCCTTCTTTGGGGCCCCCTAGTTTGACGCATTGGGGGGGGGGGGTTCCAAGCGAGCTCTTGAGACAGCCCCTGCAGGCCTGAACGGGATGCAAACCCAGCTGGCTGTTCTGCCACTCCGTGAAGGACTGGAAAACCAAAGGCACCGAGACCTCGGCTAAACTACCTCAACAAAACCTGGTCCTTACAAAGTCCACCCAAACCAAAGTTAAGAAATTAATGGGTGGCCGCACTTAGTTCTGACTGGGATTGCTAGTCCTTCATCCGAATTGATTGTGGCTCAACTGGAACTGCCTGCTACTGGCAGTTAGTGGATGTTGGTGGATCTATATGTGGATAGTTGTGATTAGTGATGATTAGTGGTGCGTAGTTGTCATTAGCATGGGTAAAAAACGCGGCTGGGAAGCATTTTTCTTCTAACTGGCTACTTTGGAAAGTCAGAAGTGTGTTGTTGGGTGATTTAGCTTCCGATGTTTCAGGCTTTTGGGGATCCTCAGAAAAGAAGCAACTGGGACCAACAACGCGAGCGAGCAATCATCTGGCAGCGGCAGGCGAAAGCAATTCTTTGAGGAGAGACAAGCACATGTTCCACAATTGCTTCTACATGTCACACAAAAACACAAACACAAGCGACACGGCAACGAAACCTCCCGAGAAGCTGTGGGAACCCTTCAAAACCCTGCCCCGAAACCGCAAGCCCAGGCGAGTTGTCGCAGCGGTTGCTTGGGACAAAGCAAACTTGAGTCACAAATGAAAGGGCGGATATCCGCAATTGTTTTGGACTGGAGGGAACCCAAATGGGATGGCTTTCTTGTGGCTGTCTTTCAAACCAACCCATGAGTCGAGGTTTGTTTGGGTGTATCGGCCCTATACACTGGCTTTGTGAAACCATGGAAGGGTGCACTCTGCTCAAATGCGGCAAGGTAGAGGCCTAAATCATTAGAGGAGGGTTACGGGGTACATCAAATCATATTTATTCAGTATTTAGTCATGATTGCCCGAAATACTATTAAAAAAAAAGGTTGATTTGGCCTCAAAACAAAATCCCACCCGCTTGAAGGTGCAAACCCGAGGCACCAAGTAGGGCCGGTTGAAGCGCATCAGCACCTCCTTGGCCTTCTTGGCATCCTGCGTGGCTTCGTGCAGCCCCTGAACAAGAAATTAACCTAAGCAGCATGAGGGGAAATAACACAAGGGAAGGGTGAACAAAAAGGGAGGGGGGCTAAATGAAAACCGAGCTTCCTCCAACAAAACGCATAGTGAAGGCTATGTTGCAAATCCACCAAACACGAGTCTTTTAAGGAGCTTGCGAGAACCATCCGCATCCTGGGACGCAGGGCCACCCACCAGCGAGAAGCCCGTGAGGTTCACCAGCGCGTCCACGGCCCCCTCACCGCTGGGCAAGCTCAGGAAGTCCTGCGAGAGCCAGGCAAAATGCCGCTTCCCTGCTTCGGAAACCGGCTTCAAATAATTCTGTGCGTGTATGAAATAGATTTGTGTGAAGGGTGCATACGTAAAACGGCTTATGACTTCCCATGCTCATGTGTCAGTTAGATGTGTAGCTGACAAATTGACAAAGAGGAGGGAAGAGTCCCTTTGGTGAAGCGTGATCAAGCTGCATAGCTCATATTTCTGTTACATTTGCGTGAAGCCCGGGTTGGTTGGCAAAGCAATCCCGGGCAGCCCGGCCAAAACCTAGGAAATTTGCTAAAGGGAAGCAGTCAGCACGCTTGGCTGAAAAAAGAAACCAACAGAAGCAAATGTAGAAACGCGACCGAGTCAAGCATGGCTTCTACACTATTCGCGCCCCCAAAACGCGATTTGCAACACGCAAAGTTAAACTTAAAGTGAAACAGCAAAACGATCAGCACATGTCGCGGAACCCAAACAAACACACAGAAACCCTCCAGGAAAGGATCCTTCGTGACAAAGTGCAATATCTCGTTGTTTTTGACCCGCCCCCCCCCCCCACCCTGTTCACTGAAATCACGTGCACTTTATCCATGAATCATAAATGGGCGTGTCCAAAAGTTTAGGTCCAAGAAACGTCAACTGCTTCCGATGGAGTTCCTGGTGCTTTCCCTGTTCACCCTGTCGCAACAAGGGATTGACCACAAAACCCTGCGCTGCGTATTTGCTTCGTACTCCAAACATGGGTTCTTCCTTTGAAGGCTTTGTGGAAAAATGTGCATGGCAAAGGCGGCTTGTTTCAAATTTGGCTGAAAGCATTATGCTTAAAATACAAACGCCAATTTCAACCCTGATCCTTGCAATAGCCCTGGCATGGCAAGGTTTTTGTCTCAACATAGTGGAACCAATTTCAGTGCATTCCCTGCAATCGCCCTTTACACGAACCCCCAAATTCATCCAAAATGGGTATCATAAAAAGGGACAACCTCCCAGAATGATCCAAAATGCACGAACACCCCCAAAATGATCCAAAATACACGAACACCCCCAAACTGATCCAATATACACGACCGCCCCCCCCCCCCAAAAAAAAAAACATGATCCAACATAATACATGACCCCCCCCCAAAAAAAAACTAGACCACGGTTGGCCCGAAAGCATAACATCGCAAGCGAGGCCGGCCCAACGCTGCAGGATGCGTTCTTTTTCCCTCCACGAAGCATTTGTGAAGCAAGCGCGGGACAGCACCAGGCAAGGTGCTCTGCGCAAACTGGTCGGTGCAAGTTGGTCTGCGCAAGTTGCTCTACGCAAGTTGCACTGTGCAAGTTGCTCTGCGCAAGTTGCTCCGCGCAAGTTGCTCCGGCAAGTTGGCCCCTGCAAGTGGCTCCCTGCAAGTTGCTCTGTGCAAATTGCGCTCCCTGCAAGTTGCTCTGTACAAGCAAGTTGCTCTGTGCAAGTTGTGCAAGTTGCTCAAGTTGCTCTGCAAGTTGCTCTGCGTAAGGCTCTGCGCAAGCTCTAGGCAAGGCGCTCTGCGCAAACTGGTCGGTGCAAGTTGGTCTGCGCAAGTTGCTCTGTGCAACTTGCTCTGCGCAAGTTGCTCTGCGCAAGTTGCTTTAAAATGCAAGTTGCATCTTGCGACGCCCGCCCGCGGACCAGGGAGGAATCGAACCCGCGACCCGCCGGTTCCGGGAGCAGGCGCGCGAACCACGAGACAACTCCCGAGGACCAGTTCGAACAACAAAAGTCGCAAAAAACCTTGAGTTTTTGCACCTCGACCACGCCGATTCCCGCAGAGGGTTGCGCGAGCACCGCAGAAATCGCAAAAAACCTGGGTTTTTGCACCTCGACCACGCCGATCCCCGCAGAGGGTCGCGCGAGCACCGCAGAAATCGCAAAAAACCATGGGTTTTTGCACCTCGACCACGCCGATCCCCGCAGAGGGTCGCGCGGGCACCGCAGAAATCGCAAAAAACCATGGGTTTTTGCACCTCGACCACGCCGATCCCCGCAGAGGGTCGCGCGGGCATGTTGGAAATCGCAAAAAACCATGGGTTTTTGCACCTCGACCACGCCGATCCCCGCAGAGGGTCGCGCGGGCATGTTGGAAATCGCAAAAAACCATGGGTTTTTGCACCTCGACCACGCCGATCCCCGCAGAGGGTCGCGCGAGCACCGCAGAAATCGCAAAAAACCATGGGTTTTTGCACCTCGACCACGCCGATCCCCGCAGAGGGTCGATTTTCGTGTAGTGTCGTCGGCACTACCCCGCCGCCCTAAGAGGAGATTTTAATCATCGCTGCACTTGGCTCCTTGCACTTGTAACTTGCACTTGCAACTTGCACATGCACTTGCAACTTGCACTTGACTTGACTTGCACTTGCACTTGCACTTGCACTTGTACTTGACTTCTTGCAACTTGCAACTTGCATTGACTCTTGCACTTGCACTTGCAATGACTTGCACTTGCAATGACTCCTTGCAATGACTTGCACTTGCACTTGGCTCCTTGCGCTTGCAACTTGCACTCCTTTGACTCCTTGCAACTCCTTGCAATGACTCCTTGCAATGACTCCTTGCAATGACTCCTTGCAATGACTCCTTGCAATGACTCCTTGCAATGACTCCTTGCAATGACTCCTTGCAATGACTCCTTGCAATGACTCCTTGCAATGACTCCTTGCAATGACTCCTTGCAATGACTCCTTGCAATGACTCCTTGCCATGACTCCTTGCAATGACTCCTTGCAATGACTCCTTGCAATGACTCCTTGCAATTGCAACGACTCCTTGCAATGACTCCTTGCAATGACTCCTTGCAATGACTCCTTGCAATGACTCCTTGCAATGACTCCTTGCAATGACTCCTTGCAATGACTCCTTGCAATGACTCCTTGCAATGACTCCTTGCAATGACTCCTTGCAATAACTCCTTGCAATGACTCCTTGCAATGACTCCTTGCAATGACTCCAATTGCAATGACTCCTTGCAATGACTCCTTGCAATGACTCCTTGCAATGGCTCCTTGCAATGACTCCTTGCAATGACTCCTTGCAATAACTCCTTGCAATGACTCCTTGCAATGACTCCCTGCAATGACTCCTTGCAATGACTCCTTGCAATGACTCCTTGCATTGACTTTCATGATGATGATTCCTCGCAATGACACCTTGTAATGACTCTCATGAGAACAACTCAAGTAAACCCAGCGGAAGAACCCTTCGCCATGCTTTCGGGAAAAAAACACGTCAACAAAAACAGGGGACACCATGTGATTGGGCCGTTTCGCCCCCATTTCGCTCCTGCACGGGCACGGAGAAGTCCAGGCCCCCCGTGTAGGTGCATGCCACCCGGGCGCCGCGGCGCTCCAACTCCTGGACCATGCCCACCTCGGAGCCGACCCGAAGCGACCGCAGGGGGGGGGGACCGAGAAAAAAAAAGCTGAAGGCAAAGGGAAGCCTAAGCAACCTGAGGAGAAGTTAGGGTAAAGCTGGGAAAAACTAGTGGAAAGGAAAGGGAACTGGAAAGTATGGAAGTTGGGAATTGGGAAAGTGAAACAACAGGTATGGATAGGAGAATGCTGAGGATCAATGACTCAGCATAGCCGAGACGAGGAATCCTCTGGAAACCATTTGCATTTGAGTCGTGTGGAAGCCGAAAGGTGAAAATGCGTAAGCTTTGGGCAAGTTACTTGTGCTGCTCCAAAGAGGCGATCGTCGCAAGGGTTAAGAAGAGTGCCCGGTAAAAGAAAGCCACAGGAAACCTAAAGAACCCAAACCAATTCCCTCTGGTTTAGTCATCAATCTGGGCGAATTTATATAATCCCTAAACCGGAAATAAAGGAACCTCCAGTAAAGGACCTCCTCAGGTGACCTCGTTTCGTCCCCGAAGCGGAACGACTGTGGCCGTAATAGTTGGGTACCAGCACCGTTGTGCTTGGGGAAGCTGTCGCGGGAGGTATTTGAATCTGGCTGGTGCTCAGTAGGGAATGTGGGACTGAACCCAGGGGTCCCCTAAAAGGAAACCAAAAAGGATGGTTTATAAGGGTCATTGCCTCATTCCCAGCCTCGCACCAGCAAGTAACTGATTGCTCCTTACTTGTGCCCAGGCGCATAGTGGCCATCGTCTTTGGTGGCGATGTGGGACTTCTGCAGCACCAGCCCAATGGTGGGCCTTAGAATCCACCGCTGCGGTTTGGCTCACCTCCCGCCTTTGGGATTGAAGTTGGGGTTCAAAAAAAACACCATTGTCTGGCAATCCCACAGAAACGTAGAACACAGGGGATGAATTGGCCATGAATCTTGCTGGGGAACGACTCCTCTGAATGGTTGGCATAGACTCCCATGCAAATGATATCCACCGAAGAGCCCCCCAAATTCAAACCCAACTCCAGGGCAAACACAAATGCTGGGCTGTTGCGCATCTAACTACTTTTTTTGTTTTCTGAGACTTCCCTTTGGGTCTCGGCCTCGGCCCTGGGGTTCCGGCGCGTCGACTGCAAGGCCGGCGGCGGGGCAGTGGACCTTGTCGTACCACTCCCGGTAGTCCGCCATGGTGTCGAAGATCTGAGGTGCCAGCCTAAATCGAGGCAGTTTGGCTTCTCAAAAAATGTCCACCAGAAAAGAAGTTGGATGCCAGGAAGATTTACCATGTCGTAGTATGTTAAAGCTGGAGCCTGCTAGGGAGCAGGGCCTAGTTAGAGATGGTCCTAAAGGAATCAGAAAGGAAACCCTTGCCACGTTGAGGGACGCAATTGGATTTGACACGCACCGTCAGTCAAGCGGCAAACCGGCTACAGAAAAGGCAAACCTGGGGCATTCCATTTTGTGAAATGGATAACCAAGGGAACCATCGCAAACCACCCTGCAAAGCATATCGGTGGTTGCCTGTGACAACTGGGAACCATTGACACCCCCAAAGTGTCGGCTCTGTGAATTTTCCGAAGGCCTACCTAAACCGATACGTGTGCATTTTACGAGCACCTAGTTTGGGGGCCATGTGTCAAGGGCCCGCCAAAAGCCAACCGTTCTGGGCTTCCCCGAGTTTGAGACATACCTACTGTAGATGGACAAATTCCTGCACCACCCAAGACACCATGGGAAACCTTGTTTGTTGGTATTTACAGGGGATCATATCATCCTAGGGTTTCTTTGGTGGTGCAGGATTTCGTCCATCCACAGTATGTCCATCCAGTCAGACCCACTTCAGGACGCCAGGGCAGTCAGGCAACGGGTGCCAAATTCCCATGTCCGGCAGCACCACAGGATCCATCAGCGACTCTGTATCGATCTCCTCACGGAGAAATGTGGGTCCCTTGTTTTCCCCTTTTCCGAAAGTGCCTCGTACTGCGCTTTTTGGAGTGCCATGGCAAAATATCCTCGGGCTTTCCCATGCAAGGAATCCCGTTTCCCGCGCCAATGACGCTCCAAAGCAATAGCAACCGAAAGCAGGTGTTTGGCCGTAACTCAGACATAAAATGGCTACATCTGCTGTCCCACTGGGTCCTGAATTTTGAGCCCGCACGACAAGAATTTGCATCCCATCGTGTCCTCCACACCTTTCACGTAGCCCCCTGCGACGCGGAGCAGCATGGCCTCGCCATGCGGTTCATCTGGGCGAATGTTCCTATCCTTCCCAAACCTGAAATAGGGGCTTGGATCCTCAAGTGAAGGGCTTTGATGGTGAGAAACTGCCGAGCCAGCAGCAAAAAAAATCTCACCCAATGGCCTCCAGGTTCTCAGGAGTGCCACCCAGCCAGTGCTGCAGGGACAGCACAAAAGTCCTCCCACGCAACACCCGCTTTAAAAATACGGTGCCCTTTGAATGGGCTCCTCGCCGTGGCCCTCTCCGAATTGTGCTTTGGCGGAAGCAGTTTGATCCGCGTGTGAAATGGTTTCCCCTCCCCAAAAGGGTTCTGGTTGGTCCCCTTTTCGGTCCCCAACAGCAGTCCAAAACAGTCAAAGGGATGCAAATAATATCCACTTCCTACATTGTTGCACCCCTGTCGCGGGCGTTGGCTTCACGACAAATGGCCAATCGACAAAAAGCACGCATCCATCAACTGGAAGGACCAGTGGACATAACTCAACGGAACCGTTTCTTTTGTCCTCAACTTCTGACTGGCCATGGAACCAAAGGGCACTCTCGTATGTTCAAAACATGAACCACTCCAATGGAGCCTGGAAGCCAAAAGGTAAACCAACCAGCCGGGGGGGAGGTCCCTACTTCTAAGAAACACCCGGAGCCTCAGGGATGCATGTGACACATACTGCGCCAGATGTCCTGGCATCCTTGGCCTGGTCACCCGGCAAAAACTTCAAGACCTCGCGAGAAAGGCACCAACTCGTCTCCGAGAAGCAACCAGCGGTGGCTGAAGATACGAGTACTGCTTGATCTAATTAATTGAGCTTTCGGGGTTGACCTCCTATTGGTTATCTGAACCATTGCACTTGTCTTGGTTGAGTGCGAATGCGTCATGTTGCTTTCCGAAGGACAGTAACATGACTACTGCACAGTTGGTGAACCAACCCCCTAAAAAAAAGAAGAAACAAAAAAAGCGGTTGTCAGTCGTGCAGGGGAAGGGGGCGGTCAGCCGCTGTGAGCCTATTTTCAGTGGGGGATCAAGTGGAACAAAATTGAAAAATGTGGCCAGCTTTGCAATCACGCTTTTGGGCTCATGTCAACCTCGGGCCGACCAAAATGACAGCAGGTGCAATCCGCAGAATCCCCATTGAAAATCATCCTGGTCATACCCAAACAAAACTGGAAAATATATATTCAATTCATCTAGAGGGATCACCGTTCTCCGTATGCGATCCAACACTGTGTACACACACACACACCACCGTTACGATACACACCATTTACGGGAACTTTCATGTAGCCCACAGTCTCTGACCTTAGCCTTCGAAATGTGGCTTCCTCTATCCGGATCCTTGAAAAAAGGCAACGTTTCCTTTTGGCTTCCCTCTTGATGATCAATACCCTCCATTGGCGGCTCCAAAGTGCTAGCTGGTGTCCTTCTAAAGCTGTCCAACAGGTAACCACTTTGAGACATACCCAAGCTATTCAACAAATGGGTTGGCCAATCCTCCATCATCCCTCTTGGAAACCATGCAAAGGAGACCCCTTTTGCAACCCACGGGAGTCACGGGAATGAAACACCCCAGCCAAGTATGGGTGTAACTTGAATTGGACCCTTTAATGATCTTTAATGGACACAATTTACGTGAGGATTTATGTCCACCAACCATTGTTCAGGCTATGTTGTAATCAACAAAACACAGGCCGTGCGGCTCCCCAAGCGGACTGCTGAAACATGCCAACCCCTGCACTTCGGGTTGGAAGCGCCTTGGGCAAGGTTCTCACAAGCTTCAGCAAGCTGTCCTGGCCACAAATCACTGTCCTAATTGTCGCTTCACTCGGGGTTCTGGAAGACTTGGACAAATGTGCCATTCGACATTGGAGTCCACTTGAAGGACGGTAAACAAAATTCTATCAGATACACTGGTCGATGGTGGAACATGACAAGTCCTCCAACAAATGCAAAATTGTCCGAACGTATTCACTTTGGGCAGGAGCCCTCTGTCAACCACTTACGTACGTAGGCTTTTGAAGGCCCTTTTCGCTCAGGTTTTTCAGCAAGCCAAGTATGCCTTGTTCTCTCCAAGGCGTCTCCATTTCAGTCCTGAAAGTTTCCGCCGGTGGTGGGCTTGCTCTTCGACAGAGACTTCTGCCTGAGATCTTTGACCTGTCGGATCACGCAAGCGGAAATGGGAGAGCGAGGGGCAACCAAACAGTCCAGTGCCCCGCCACTGTACCAAGGTTGGCAACGGTGCAATAGATGGTTCAGACGATTTGAGTATGTAAACTGCCTTCGGTGTTGCTCCTGTCCAGTTGGGGTGGCCCAGAAGCGAAATCTAAAGCAGGCACATACCCATGCTTCATGGTTGGATAGGGAAACTTCGGCCTCACCACAACGGTAAACCAACAATAGCAATACGACCCCCAAAACATCATAAACAACGTGCCATGACGTTGTGTCAAGGTGCCGCCTCGAAACATCCCCAACCTCAAAACTTGTTTACACAATTCTCATGCAACTCCAGGTCAATCTGCAAGAAGCGGCCCTCTTACGCGCCAACCTCAAGGGCCCATGGGTGCCAGCGATCAGGCGGCCTGCTGCGCAAAGTTGCCCAACGGACCGCCAGCGATCTGCGTCAGATCGAAGGTCCCGAGCTTGTTTTGCTTCATCACCTGCACGCTGCGGAGACCCTGGGGTGTTCAAATGCGGGGGGGGTGACTCCCTAAGCTAAATCCCTAATCCCTAGCGAGACACCACTATTGTACAGGGAAATCACTTCCAGCTGGCAGGAAGGACGGATGCTTAAATAACCCAGCCAGCATTGTGGCCGACATGTGTGAGTCAGGTGGCCATAAGCTCATAATGTGTGTTGACTCTTGCTCAAATAAAGGAATGGTCAACATGCGGTTTGAACAATGGAGTCCGTCGGGAAATCTGAACAATCCTTGAGTGGCTCTTGCTAAGGGAGGATTGGCCTGCAGCGAGGGCCGAGAGACAGATTGATCTCGCACACTTCAAGGTCCGTGCACTGCTTGAGTAAATACTGTTGTCCGGTTAACACGCCTATATCTGATGCGGATGTGTCTTTACCCAGGCACGTCTGCACGAGGGCCTCTCCCCGTGGGCATCACTGCTTTTTGTGTTTTTTTTGGGGGGGGGGATGTTTCATCTCCTTGGACACAGTTTGCTTTAGGGGATATGAACAATTCCAGTTCGAAGAGACGTTTATATTGAACCCTATCATGCCGCGGGTTGGAGCTCACGCGAAAGCACATCTCATTAGGTCGATTCAGAGAGATGTATCGTTCAGGAACCCTGGCGGAAGAACCATTGAGATCCATGCGATTTGCCCAATGTCAGACCATTATGGCAATTTACGGTACCCTTTCTGTGATGCCAAATTGGGCCATCCATGCGACTATACTTTGGTTTGCAGGGGATTTCCTTGGCATCTCAGAAGATGACCCTACAAAATGGGTTTTCCACAAGCGCATGTAAGACACAAAGGCTTATCGAAACTGATCCACCGGATATCTTTGGACTCATTGCCAGCCTCCGGCATAGAGGGGAAGCACAGGCAAGCATCCAGCTGGTCTCGGCAAGGTTCCACCTCGGGTGACTGGGACCGGGGCCCATCTGCAAATTCATGGGTTCATCTTCCCGCCTGAGCAAAAGGTCTAACCGTTTGCAGGTTTTACGGAAAATCCATTTGTTCTAGGGCTAGTGTCCCACCAACAACAAGCCATAACGAGGAAACCCAAATAGGGGCCACCCAAAGTTGATTAGATTCCTCTAAAACCCGAGGGTCTTTGTAAATCTGGAGTGTAAAAGTGAAACTCTCAACATTTCCCTTCTCAGTGCAGGGTAGGGAGCCTACAACAAATCCTCAAGTATCCATAACCTGTTAATTTTATTTAGGGAACATCAACAAACATGTTCTAGTTATATAGCACCCGGCCTGAAACGGGTGGTAAAACTAAACTCTGCCACGAAAGGTAGTCTGAAGGACACCCCTAGCAAATGTTCATCGTATTGAACCCCATTGCAATCCACCAGCACCGAGCTAAATGCCACACCTTCTCGGGTGTGTGCGATTGATAGCCGGGCTGTTCAAAATGTAGCGTTGGCCAATCCGAATCCACAAGCCGTATTGGAAAACCGCTACCAAGGGGACTCCTTTCGAAACTAAGGTATGGACTAAGGACCGCCTTTGAACAGCCAGAGAGGTATGCCGTATGCCATGCTCAGCTTGATTCAAGGGTGGGTCCCTTGAGGACATGGCAGTGGGTCTAAAATATGTACCCAAAATGGGAACCCTGGTAAATGGAAACATGGATTAAACCTGTGGTCCCATGGTGGTTTAATTTTGACCCACAGCCACATTGGATTCCTTGCCAAGTATCTATCTTCACCAGCTTCTCCGCGAGCTCTTGCACAAAGATCAGAGAGCCTCAGGTTTTGCTTTTCAAAACAAAGCTCCTGCTCCTTCAAGGGCCGAAAAACAAGTTGGATAGGTGGCCCACTTTCTAGTCACTTTGGTCGCGACCAACTGTGATCCATGGAGCGCACGCTAAACCAATCCGACGCAGCCTGCCACATAAATTCAAGCTTCTCCACTTAACCATTATTCTAAAGAATTTTACATGGGCCACTGTTATGGGCCATTATTTTTGTGGTTTGCTGGCGAGAGAGACGATAGTTCTAACGAACACAAATCTGCAAGTTTGATTTCAGCAAAAGGGCAACCAAGGACCCAAACATCTGAGTTCCCAAAATAGGGGCCCATTCAGGAAACTGTCTGTGCCAGTGGGTTTCCTGAATGGGCCCCTATTTTTGGGACCGGGGTTTGGGGGCTTGGCACGAAGAGTCCCAATGGAGTTGGAACCTTTCAAGATTGCTGTCGTCAAAGATTGCTACTCCAGAGGCAGCAGTTGAGAAACGCACACATCCAGCCACCTGGTCCTTGTGCTACGTACCCAATACATAAGGGGTATATATAGTGTATGTATGTTTCAGCCATTAGCGGCCCATAACAAGGGCCCAAGTAAAAAACTTTAGAATTATCCCATTTGTTTCTCTTCGTGTGAGGATACTTACACGCAATATTGTGCTGTGTCACACCAATGGTCTGAGCCGACACCCCGCTTATCTGAGATCAAGCTTCCCAAAGGTCCCGGGGTCCCGAGTCATAAGGTTAGAGCCCCCAACACGTTACCCATGGGGACCAACATGGCCCAGAACTCCTCTAATGTTTGTTTAGGGCCGCCATGTGACACTTGACTGTGAATCTTTGCGGAACATATCACATGGCCGCACTTCTCGGAGGCTGCGCCTTCTGGAGCAGTCCGGGGGAAAATTACATTGAAAGGTTTGAGAGGAAACCTGCAGAAAGCCAAACACTTGCACGGGGTCCGATGGATCACGAACAAACTGGAGCCAACAATCTACCCCTTGGTTGCAGTGGCACGTCTATTTGCTCAAAGCAAACCGGCAGGGCTCCATATTGTGCTTCGTGGGGGAATGCCTTGCGCCTCGACAAGCTGCAGCGGGGAAACAAAGCATACATCGAAGGATCAAGCTTGCAAGCTTGGGACAGGCCAAGAAAGCCGAGGTAGAATCCAAGATGCCTTCAGAAAGGGCCTGGTGCTTTGAGTACCGAGCAAAACCAAGTTATTTCTGTATCAACAAACGAATCTACTGTAATTAAGTCATCATATGTGACTTCTCTAATAAGTGGCTTCGCTTGATTTGGCACAACTGTTTGCTCCTTCAATGGTTGGCAAAACTCGCCAGCGGAAACTGCCCCACGATTCCGTACCAGGAAAAAGTCAGTGATGTCGATGACTCCAAGGGACTGAGCCTCTGTGCTCGATCCCATGACCTGGTTTTTGGGCCCATAAACGAAAGGAAAAGTGAAGGTCAACAAAAATTAGGTTTGGGGCCACAACGATTGCGCTGTAGGACTATGAATCCAAGACAAACCCGCATCGGTTGGCTGGTGTACCAACAAGGGATGGAGAAAGGGATGAAAAGAAGGCCTTAAAAAAGGATTGAACAGAAGGGCACAGTGTACAACAACTGAGGCGACCAGCCTAAAGGGTGCCAGTGTGAACGCATCCATAGCACTGGTAAAGCAGAACCCTGCCTTTTTTCCTGCCCTTGCTTCTTCCAACCAAACTGACCCCCGCGAGCCCGAAAGGCAACCTAAAGCAAAAAGGCGCCCACGACTTGTGCAACTGCGCGGCAAATGAAGATGTTGGCATCCTGCATATCCTGCCGGATTCGCGCGGTGTCTAGCCACTGCACTAAGAAGTGATTGAGTTTTTTGGGAATAATGTCAATCCCCTTCTCCAAATGAAGGCGCCTACCTTGAAGAAGCATTTTGTTCAACTGGATGTCAAGACTCACTCGCCCAAAATATCTGGAATTAACAGGTTAACCTTTTGGAACCTTGACTAAACATTGACCAACTCAGGAAACCAAACAGGTTTCCTAAAGCTCGGATTTGGGCAAGTGAGAAGATGCCCATTGTATGAATTCAATATGTGACCAAAAACATGACCAAGTCTCATGTGTTTATTGTGCTCCACATCTAGCGAATCATAAAATGCAACAAAAGGGAGCAGAAAGCACGCCTGAGCTCTTGCAATTGCGGCCAGTGACCCAAATCGGATTCCTTTTTTGGGGGTAATCATGTAAAAGGCGAACCCCAACAAACAACACAAAAAAAAGCATCGAACCCAAAGCTTTGGGCGGGCCAATGGACCAAACGTGCAAACCGGATACCACCCATTAATAAGGGATAGCGCTGAGACCACCCACTTGTAAGAGATACCATTGATTCATAAGCAATACCAACCATTCTTAAGGGATATCATCAATTCATACCTAGCAACACCCTGTTTTAAAGGAAAACGGGATACCCTTTTGTGGGCTTGGCTTGCCCAGAGGGGCCAAGCAAACCCAAGCCGTCCTTTGCCAGCTCAGCCTCGCTCGCCTCGCTGCGAATCTCCTGTCGGTGTATCTGGTTAATTCATCAACCTATCAATATATATATATACCCTCCTTTCCACTAACATGGCTTCTGACAGAGGGCCCCTTGGAGAGTAAATTCATCTTCCAGGTACCCTCCCACAGGTGCCATATTAGTTGGAGGCAGGGTATATAAACATGTCTCAATCAATGAGCCTGTCAAGTGTATCTATCTATGCATACAATATGTCTCCGATATCAGATCTATACAATATGTCTAATCTATCTATCTAAGCCATTTATTCTGTCTTGATCGATCTGTTTATCTAATACATGTCTACCTCTAGTCGCTCTCCAATGAATCTATAGTCGACCTCTAATCTGCAAGCTATCTCCAATCGATCGAATTTGTATATATATAACCTATTTCGTTCATACTATATATATGTGTGATCTCTATGATCAGATCTATCGCTTCAGTATTGAATACATTTCGAAGGCGTATCTGTAAGGCAGTCTTGAGTATGCATTTGCATCTTACTTGACTAAGACCAACAGTTTGCAGCTTTCAACCCACGCAAGAACTCGTATGACCTGGACAAACATGGGCACCGTTTTCGCTATGTTTCGCCGCTAAGGAGTTCCACAACATGTCAACTCCCTCAGTGGTCTCTGTTGGCCGTGCCACACACATTCAAGATTCTTGGGGGATCTAAAGGCAACGTCCCGGTAAGTCCCGGCTGGCAAATCTCTGATATGGGTTCCCAAAAATTGTGGATGTCGTTTTGCCTGGTTCCTTTAACTAAATCTGAAAAATAATACTCTCCAAAAGCATGTCTATGTATATAATATAGATCTCCCAGGCTCCCAGCTACACTGGAGAACACAGGCCGCAAACCTGAGAGGGGTCCCTGCAAATGGTTGGTCTTCTCGCTTCCTTTGAAATCCATGCAACAAGGACGGCCCAATCTTTGGACACCGCCAGCTCTTGGCGCAACATTCTAAGGGCAGATTGCGGGTTGATATGTTTCTGCGAGCCTAAGATTAGGGGCTTCACAAATCTGTAGAAACATTTCTAGGCACTATCCCTCCGCATGGCAACGGTCTCTTTGAGGTTTTTGCTTCAACACAATTCAAAGGTTTCACAAACTCGCACCCCAGTTTGAGAGACTCATAATCAAACCTGGCAAAAATAGGCTGTAACCTGAACCATGAAAAGAACCTCAACAATTTCTGGCTAACTGTCCCTTAACCTTCATTTTGCCGGGCTTGATTGTGGTCACCAAAGACAGGTATCATGCTATGATGGCGCACCCAGCATCCCGCCATCCCTTGTTGAACGCATGCTTCCGCAAGAAAGCGAAGGTGATAGCGCCCGCCTTTGGGCGTTGCGGCTTAATTAGGGTGGTGTCGGGAAAGGAAAACTAGACCAAGTTTCCGCCCAAAAGCGGTTTGGTCAATGTTGCGGCTCTGAACAACCCTGCATGTGAAGGATCATCAAGCCAAAGGCATGCCCAAAGCATGGATGCCGATGGCTCAAACCATCTTAGACCCCTACTTTGTTCAAGGGGTAGGCTCAAATAGTGTTACACATATTTTGCCCAACCGTCCCAACCGTAGCTTACTAACCGTTTTCGGTCCTCCAGCAAGTACCCGACGCACTCCATGCATACGGGGCCCGGGGTCTTGTTGATCTGCTTGATTGCAGTCGTCATGGCCTTGGACGACTCTATGCAGACCTGTTGAGATCTACCTCCGGTCCTGAAGATGTACACATAAACATGCGGACATCTCCACGGATATTTGCATGCATACACGTGCCTGTATCTTCATATCATGTATACAAGCCAATGCGAACTCGCATAGCACCAAGGCAGGGGGTTGGGTGGGTGCGACTCCCCAAAACAAACTAGAACCACATCTAGATCTATAGCTTCTTATCGATTTGAAAGGGATCTCGGGGATCTCTAAAATTATGAACCTTTCTATTGAAACGTGATCTTATCCAAGCTCTTCTACGGAACCCCATATCTACTGCCCTTTGCCAACAAATCCCTCCTTGAAACCGTCGTTTACATCATGGCGCAGCAACCGTCATCTGCTGCGTCACAACATGGTCAAAACAAACATTAAGCACGCAAGTGAGATGTCAACTTTGGAACAGGACGACCTTTGCACATCAGGATCCTCTTAGAGCTCATTTCATCTTACTCAACAGGGCAACCTCCCTGCTCCTACTAGTTCATGAACAAGTCAGCTCTGCAAGCTATGATGTGCGTGATGCTTGGGTCCTCCTTCTCTCTGGAAGAAACGAGTTGAATCCCTCTTTTGAAGGCTTGCACACTGCTTCTGAGGCCGCAAAACCGACTCTGTGGGCTCCCGGCTGACTGGTACTGGGACTCCAGGACCACGTAGACCACCTTCACGTACTTCCTGCCCTTCTGTTGCGCCTCGCGCGAGCACAAAAATGGAGCCAAGTTTGGCCTAAGAAGCGAAGAGGTCAAAGCGAAAGCAAGGATCCTCCTTACTCTGAAGGCTAGCTGGGTGCCAAATAAAGGGTCTGGAAAAAAGACATACCCTTCTGGTGTCCTTCAGTTTAGCACCTAAACAAGATGCACCCCTTACCATCAAACAAGTACAAACTGTTGGGGCCCCATGGTCCCACCCGGCCCCTGTCCAACCCGCCAAGCGCTCCTCTGTGGGTACCACGCGGCGCGATGCCACGTTGGATTGCGTGTAGCCTCCCATGGCCCCGCCAGAGACGCCTCGTCGGCATTGCGCACGCGACGAGCGACGAGCAATGGCTGCCAAGCCCAAACGAGGATTCTCAGCACGCCGCAAACCATCGCCACCACGGGCATGATTTATTGACTGCATGCTTCTTTCCGTTTGGCCTTGACTTTACCGCCCCAGGAATCTTCATGTGCAAAAAAGGCTGTATGGGTTTCTTTTGTGGCGGATGTTCTGTTTGCCGGTAACACTAAGGGAATCTGCCATCACCCAAAGGTCCTTGTGCAAATGCCCCTCCTTTTGAGGCAATGCGCTGACGACTTCAAGTTCCAGTTGCTCCCATGCAACGGGTTTGCGAATTTGACTTGAACTTCAGAGCAGGGAAACAAACATTGGCCCCAAGCCGTTTTGGTTGTGGAAACAAAGTTTAATTGACTATGTGATGAAGCAGAAAAATGACTACTATAAACAGCACTAAGTGTGTTTCATCAACGAGCAAGTAAAGCTTGTTTGACCCATTTTGAAACCCACCAATGTTCGATCGGAAGTTCCCACAAAATGCTTGCGGGGAACATAGTAGATATCACCACATGATGGGCGTCCCGTGCCTGCCATCATCTCATCCTCGCCATCCGGGGCATTCAGCGTCTGGCCGGGCGAAGTTGCAAGGCAGGACACGGAATGTATGGGCCAAACTAAGATTGCGTTGGGAGTTGACATCCCTCCCCATTATCAAAATGAGATCGATCTGATAGGGAACGGATAAGGACATCCAGGTCCTCATGTTGATTTGCAAGGATGAAATAAAGTCACCATCAGAAGGCCCAATATTAACAGCAAATTGCTATAACTGGACAAATTGCAATAACTCCCAAACTGGAATTGAGACACTCCACTAAAAGACCCCTCGCTGTGGGTGAGCTCGCTGACGCCCCCCGCGAATGCGTGGGCTTATTCTACCCCTCGAGAGCTTCAAGTACCAAGGGTGTGGTAACCATTCTACAAGAATGTCTCAACATATGTTCATAGTGGCCTCCACTTAAACCAACCTTTAACATAAAGGGTTCCCTCGAAAACAGATCAACCGAT